CGCAAGCGCAGGCTTCTTCCTGGCCCGGCAGCGGCGCACGGACCCAGGCACCATGCCAGCCCCGACAGGGGCCTCAGGACCCCATGCGCAGAGTGAGGAGAGCACCAGGGCTGGGTGTGCGGCATGCTCACAGGACTTCCGCTTGGCGTGGTGGAAGAACTCTCTCAGGAACAGCTCACCGTCAAGAGCTTTCAGTTGAGCCTGGCTCCACTCACAGCCCGGGAGCCGGGGCCTCAGCCTCCGCCACGCTCCACACACGCTCCACGCACGCCCCACGCTCGCCCACTCACGTTCTACGCTCCACCCACGCCCCACGCTCCACCTACACGCCACGCACGCCCCACGCTCTCCCTCTCACGCTCCACGCACGCCCCACGCTCCACCTACACGCCACGAACGCCCCACGCTCTCCCTCTCACGCTCCACGCACGCCACACGCTCCACGCACGCCCTTCGCTCTACGCACCGCTCCACCCTCGCTCCACGCTCTCTTGGAGCCTGGCAGCAGCCTTCGTGTGTTTATGGTATATCCCTTTCTTGGGAAGATTCCTTGGAGAAGGAAATGGCAACCCACTCCAGTACTCTTTCCTGGAGAATTCCATGGACAGAGGTGGCAAAGAGCCACGATTGAGCGACTAACATACACATACACTATCCCTTTCTTCAGCCAGAAGGCGCCCCTAAAACACTTGGACCAGGCCCCTCAAAGTCTCCTCTTTGCCACTGAGATAAAGGACAGCCTTTTTCTTTAATTTAGATGTGCTTGGTCTTAGTTGCCACACTTGGAATCTTTAGTTGTGTTATCTGGGATCTAATTCCTGACCAGGGATGGATTCTGGGCCCCTGCATTGGGAACATGGAGTCTTAACTACTGGACAACCGGGAAAACCCAAGAACGGTCTCTTGACTTTCTAGATCCTCTAATAGTGGGCCCCTGCCAGCCCCTCAAAACTTAGCAATGTTTGTGCTCAGTCGTGTCCGACTCTGCGACACCATGAACTGTAGCCCACCAGGCTTCCCTGTCCATGGGATTTTCCAGGCAAGAATACTGGAGTGGGTTGCCATTTCCTTCTCCAGGGCATCTTCCTGATGCTTAGTTTAGCTAAACATGACATGCAATGTTTAGCTGTTGATATAATTTCACCCTGAATAAGACTTAGGTCATGGTCTACGTTGCTACATATAAGGTGGCCAGGAGGAAGCAAAGCTTCATTTTAGGGAGAGGAAAATTTCACTTTAGCAAGATCCCGAAAACATGAGTTCTATCGCACAGTGCCTGTTAGCCACAGCCTCACATCTTGCATAAGAGCACAGGGCTTTGTCTGCCCACTGACTTGGGTCCCTCTTCGTGGGCTGTGTGACATTGGACAAATCACTTAACCTTTCTGAGGTCCAGTTTCTCTACCTGTTAATTGGAGTTCCCATCATGGGCCATCATAAGAATTAAATCAAATAGTACATGAAAAGTACCAAGCGTGGTGCAGGACACACAGTAAGTGTTCAGCAGAAGTTAGCTAGTCATGCTGGTGTGTGGCGGAAGGGCCACATCTCAGGGTACTATTTCCTCCTGGTCATCAGCACCTTTGTAGAGGCTACTCGGAAAGAAAATCTAGGCTAGAGGCAAAGCTAGCCTCATTCGTCCTTGTCGCAGCAGGTACGGGGGACAGGGAGGCAGAGGGGTGGGAAGGGATGTTAGCATCATGTCATTTTTTCTGCAGTCATTTTTATCTTCTTGATGAAGTGGACCCTGCATTTGAAAATTGGAAGAATTTCCCTCATAATTTAAAGCAGCGACTACCTCTGCCGGTCACAGTGACTGGAAGATTAATTTCTCACCAGCCATATAGGCGGATGCCTGCCCAAACTGGCTTCATATGCAGGCGCGGGTGTTGCCATCTCCACACCTGGCTGGTAATGAGCCCAGCACTGCCAAAAGGGTGAGGCTCCCCTTAGCAGCTGAAGCAGGTGGCAGGCAAGTCATCTTCAAGGTGACCCCATGGGACTGGCACCTCGGCAGAAGGTACTGCATACTGAGCAGAGCGGGCATGCACACACATATATCCTGCCCTAGGTTTTTATTCTGGGCACCCACAACCTTGCCTTGGCCAGCTTTTTAGTAGCCCATCTGCCTTGGATCATGGGGTGGCCAGTGTGTCCCAAGCCATCCCAGCAGCTGGGACATACTGAACCAGTCAAGAGCAGTGTGGACCCCGTACACTCCTGTGCTCCCCAAGGAGGACTGCCTATCTCTGACATTCCCAAGTCCTGCCATTGGCTTCTAAGAGGAGAGGACACATGGTGATGGGAAGATGGTGACATTGGTTGGATGGCCAATTGGCTTGTGCTTTATTAGAGAGAATATGGTAGCAGAGTGGCCACAGGTTCAGGTCTAATCCAAGCCAAAGCCTGGTCATTGGCTCAGGAGTGGCAGTACTGGGCTCAGGAGTGGCAGTACTGTGGACTGGATGAGTGGTGGCCACAAGCTTCGTTTCATGACCCAGGTAATCACTGTGTGAAGTGCTGTGTTGAAACGGATGTTTAAAAAAAAGGAAAGGATGCTGAGGCTGGCTCCTGGGCCAAACAGAAAGAGAATGGTTATCAAGTAGTCATATACTGGCTATATGACTGTGGTGGGTCATTTAATATTTTTGAGCCTCAGTATCCTCACCTCTAAAATGGGGAGAACATAGCTTCAGGGATGAAGTGAGCTCTTTAAACAGAGCCTACACATAGCAGGGGCTCTCAAAACAGTGGTGTGTGTTTGGCCCCCAAAGAATCCCAGAAATTCACATACCCTGACATTCTCATATCACAGAGTCAAGAAGCATACATGCCCAGCCAAAGCCAAGGGTCTCTCTCTCTCCCCAGTGAATGCCCCTGCAGGGGAGCAGCTTACAATGAACTTGAGCAAGCAAAGGCTTAGTTCTCAGGTTAGGATGACATACTGGCCCAGAAAGTAAGGCTTTCAAGTCAGCCCTGGCTAATGAATGTCAGTAGGCTTCAAGAGCTACCAGCATGGGCAGAACTGCTGGGAGGGCATCTTCATAGCTTAGGCAACAACTCCGAGTTCCTGCTTCACCTACCTGTCCCTGCCATGGGCTGAATGTGGGAGAGGCTTTTGGACATGGTGTTGGAAAGGGATTCGAGACAGGTGGCCACAGCTGAGCTTCCAGCTTCTGATTTGCCTAAGTCCAGGCCCTCACCTGGGAACAAAGCCCTCCTACAGCTACCCAAGGAGGTAGCGATCCACACCCTGCTTGATTCACACCCGAGACAGAGACCTCATTCCCCCGAGGCAGCTCACGGCCTCCCTGCCACTTCTTCATCTGGTCTAAGGCTGGAGCCACCCATTCAGTACATGCCTTGGGCACCTTTGATGAACTCGGACCCAGGGCTGAGCTTAAGGACACAGAGGGCACGCAGGCACAAGCCCTGGAAACCATGCATGATCATACATGACAGATGCAGAACAGGGACTGGGACCTCGGCTCTGGGAGGGCAGACAGGGGGACCCCTTTCAGGACAGGGCCCAGGAATGCTTGCCCTGCCCCTGTGGCTCACCGAGTGTCTGCAGCTCACTCCCTCTGGGGAGGTGGGATCAGCATGCCAGGGACGGGGACACAGAGGGCAGTGAGCTCTGGACTTCGAAGTTTGGGCCTGGGTTCTTGCTTGACTTGACCACAGAGTAACACAGTGACTGTGGGCTGGTGACTTACCAGTCCTGAGCATCAGTCCACACATCTGTTAAAGAGGAAATCCACACCCCAGCCCAGCTGAGTGGGAGAGAATTAAGAGGTATTCATGCAGACTCACTAATGAGGTGCTGGTTCTCCCTGGGCAGAGGCCTGTGGATGCTCTTGGCTGATTCTAACCCCTCCCTGGAGCTCAAGCCTCCGGGGAGGCTCCATAAGGCTCCATCCTCTTATACTGTGGTAGCACAAATCCATCATGGCTCCCAAAAGCTTCCTTTAATAGGGCTCTCAGGGACCCAGCTGTTGGTCCTAGAGAAGGTTCTTTCATCTTCTCATACTCCTGCCATGTTACACCCCTTCCTAGAAGCCCCTTCTTACCTCTCTGCACCTTTGCCCTTGCTCTTCCCCTGCCTGGAATACCTCCAAACTTTACCTTCTCTGAGACGTCTTCCCTGATCTGACCCAGCCCCCTGACTTGTCTGGGTCAGTTACTGCCCACAGCCCCAGGCTCGCCTGATATCCGTGGTGTCCCCCGGGGAGGTTTCACCCCCAAAGCAGGAGACCAGTGTTGAAGGCCAGCATGGTTTGTCGTCGAACTCCAATGCCTGCGTATCCTCCATCCATTCCCAAGACCTTGGCAAAGTCACACTGACCTTCCAACTTCATGTCTTGGTGGAGCAGAGTCCAGGTCTAGCACTGGATCTTGGGTTCAAGTCTCAGCTCTGCCATTAATTTGCTGTGTGACCTTGAGCAAGTCCACTGCCCTCTCTGGGCTTCCTTTTTCCTATCTGTGTGTTGGCTGAGCTCCCAGGGCAGAGGCTTCAGGGGACAGGAGAAGAGGTCAACCCTCACTAGTAGACGCTCCTGTAGATGGGGGCGGGGGGGGGGGGTTGCCAGGATGGTGGGCAAGGCGCTACCTTCCTCCCTGGCAGAAGCAGTCACGATAAAGTCCATGGGCCACATTAGCCTCCAATTACTGAGGGATGAGGGCTTCCCAGGTGGCACTAGTGGTAAAAAGCCTGCCTGCCAATGCAGGAGACTCAAGAGACACAGGTTTGGTCCCTGGGTGGGGAAGATCTCCTGGAGGTGGGCACAGCCACCCACTCCAGTTTCCTGCCTGGAGAATCCCACAGACAGAGGAGCCTGGTGGGCTATGGTCCGTAGGGTCGCACAGAGTTGGACACGACTAAAGTCACTTAACACATGCACACACACTGAGGGAGGAATCACTCACAGGGCAGCAGGGAGGGATGAGGAAGGTGTGGGGCAGGATCTTTGACCCTGTTCAGTGTCTCTCTCTGCCCACAGTAGCTCGATACAACCGCACCAGTTACTTCTACCCCACGTTCTCGGAGAGCTCAGAGCACAGCCACCTGCTCATCTCTCCCGTGCTGGTGGCGAGCGCCGTCATAGGCGTGGTCATCATCCTCTCCTGCATCACCATCATCGTGGGCAGCATCCGCAGGGACAGGCAAGCCCGGCTCCAGCGCCACCGCCGCCGCCACCGCCGCCACCACCATCGCCACCACCGCCGCCGCCGCCGGCGCCATCGAGAGTACGAGCAGGGCTATGGTGAGCTGCCACCCGTCCCCGGGCACCCCCGGGCCCTCTGTCCGATTGCCGCCCAGGCAGCAGCAAGGAGGTGGCGGCTCTGCCATGGGCGGGACAGGGTGGTCAGGCTGCATCGTAGAGGTCCTGAGTGGTCAGGAAGAGCCCAGAGGCACTCCGCATGACACCTCAGTGGCATAGGAAGCCCAGCTGTCTGCCAAGGGTGAGGCTAAAGGTCAAAGGGTGGGTGTAGGGCTTCTCCCCAGCCCCGGCCACTGTGAGACCAGGCCTGCCTATTCCTGCCCTTGAAGCACCAGCCTGACCCTTGGGGAGCACAAAGCTCCTGCCCAGAGCCTGCCCACCCCCAACAAGGAGCCCAGTACCACCCTCGACCTCTCCCACCGCAGGATGGAGCCAGTCAGGCCCAGGATGGCCAGCCTACCCACCTCACATAGCCCAACCCTTGCCCTCTACCCCTCCTGCTCACCACCCAAGGCGCCTCCTTCCTGCTCCCTCCCTCCTCTGCACCTCTGCACCGCTCTTCCCCGTGCCTAGAATGCCACTCCCCATTACCTCCCCACCTGACAGAAGCCTGCTTGTCCTTCCAGACCTGGCACAAATGCCTCCTCCTTTTAGAGCCTCTCTGCCGCTTCTCGCGCCCTCCCCCCGCCCAGGCAGGGGTGACTCCCACTCCCAGGACTTCCTGAGCACTGCACCCACCCGCATCAGCGCCCTGACCCGGGACAGCCATAGATCTCCTCGCGCTGAGCTCACAGCCCAGCGCGGGCCTAGCCCAGGGGGACCTGTTCCACAGCAGAGGAAGTCACCACCCCATCTCACTTTCCCAGCAAGAGCCGTGCTAGCCCATTTTAAAGACCAGGAGCTAGAGGGACTTGTTGACTGGCTTGAACGTGCCCGAGCCTGAGCCTGGGACTTAGAGCTCAGGAGAGAGGGCCAGGGGAATTTCCAAGATTGAGTGGAGAGGTCGACCTTGGCCTTGAGGAGAGAGAGAGGCCTCGGGGCAGGCTAGTCCGTCCTGAGGGTGTGGTGGGGCCATGGGGCCAGTGTCACAGGAGCAAGCCCCCAGCCCTGGCTCTGGAGCAGGTGGGGTGGCAGCAGGCTGCCGCCAGGCTGCGTCTGGGCTCAGGCCTTTGCTGCCTGCTGCTGACTCACTGCAGCCCCGCAGCCCCATCACCGTGGAGACCCTGCTGTGGGGCTCCCGCCTCCCTGCCCTCGGGCTGTTCTCAGCTCCGGCTTTGGGGCCTCAGCAGAAGGCCTGCAGGTGCTGATGCCCCCAGGCCATCCCCCGGCCTCAGGGGGTACAGCAGGGACTGCCGGGAGGCTTGGAAAGAAGCCAGGGGAGAGGGGACCCAAGAGCCACCAAGCTCCAACAAGCACCAGCCTCCTGGCCCCGGGGACCCTCTGTCCTTCAGACGCCCTCCCTGGCTGCAGGGACTCAGCCTCTCCAGGCTCTCTCCCATCGCTCTGGTGGCTTCTTCTCAGACTTGCTGGTAGATTCCTGGGAAGAGGAATCTCAGGGTTCCTCAGAGCCCCACCCTGGGCCCTGGGTCCACTCTCCAGAGGACCCAGCCCTGCTCCATCTCCCACACCCTCCAGCTCCAGGCCCCACCCATCCTCCTCACCCGATGCCCCGAGGCTCTTACATCTCAGACACAGAGGCACCTCAGATGCAGGGTCCACAGCAGCCTTCATCTCCACCTCTTACCAAACAACCTCAGGAAAGTCGCTCAACTCTGTGAGTCATCTATACAATGGGTACATGGGGACCCACCCCAAAGTTATTGTCAGGTCTAAAACAGCACAGTGCCTGGTTTATGAGTAAGTGCCCAGTTAATGTTAACTATTTTCATTATCTCCTCCCCTTGAGAGAGCCTGCTTCGGGGTCACTTCACTAATGCTGCATCCCCCACACCTCCCAGCCACTGGCCTGGTACCCCCAAGATATTCTCCATGGGACAAGCAACATGATTGAACTGTGACCTCTCTCAGTGCCACTCAATGGCTCCCCACTGCCCTTGGGACAAAGTCAGTCTGCCCCTGTCTGCCCACAGGGCCCTTCTGCAGGCTGGTCAGGTGCAGAGAGAGGTGCCAATGAATATTTGAGAATGAATGAAGGAGTGAGTGAATGAATGAATGAATGAGGCAGAGAGACTGGGGAAGAAAGGAGGAAGAAAAGACGGAAGAAGAGGGAGAGGAAGAGAGAAAGAAATTTGCTCTCTTTCCATAAGATGGAAAGATCTTGAGTTTGAGCTTTAGCGGATGGATCTGGCCCTCTCTCACTTGCTGGAGGTTTAGAGCAAGTGACTTCACATCTCTGTTTCTTCATCTGAAAGAAAGAGGCACCCACTGTGCCTCACAAACCCTTGTGAGGATGAATAAGATCCTGAGGTTACTGCACAGTGAAGCTTATGGATGCAAGTTCCTCTTCCCTGCTCTCCGGAGCCTGTCTAAGGTTGTTAACCTTGGACTGGGGCTGTATAATGAACAGAGGTATACCTTAACTTGGGTAAATAAGGGAAGAAAGAGATATGGGTCTCCCTGGACTATTTGGGTATGTGCTGATGAGGAAAAGAAAAAGGCGGGTAGAGGAGAAAGGAATTTGGGGAGTTCAGATTAGGGGAGTGGAGTTTCTTTCCAGCTGTTCCTTGAGAACTCTGCCCACCTGGATGTCTGGGGCTGACCTGGGTCATCTCAGGACTGGGGTCTGGGCTAGGTGAATGCCTCAGGGTGGCCTCAGTTTCCCTAAGATGCTCAGCCTGTGGCGGGGGTGGGGGTGGGGGCAAGGAAAGTAGCCCCAGGGAGAGAGAGGTAAAGAGCAGCGTGGTTCAACCCAGTCAGCTCTCAGGCCTGACCACCAGGAAACAGCCTCAGCTTTCCTGAGGTCCAGACAGCCCTGGCTGCCCCTGACCCCAACACACAGTGGATGGGGCCCTGCCCACCAACACTGGTGGGAATGGGACCCAGCACTGGAGTCCAGTGGCCAGCCACTGTGCCACTCTGTCCTCACCCAGTTGTTTCATGTTTTCCTCTCTCCTCAGTTTCTTCCCCAACTTCTTCCCCAAATTCTCATTCTTCAGCTGGTGACCTAAAAGGAAACAAATCTCATTTCAGCATCTTCTCAGCATGTTATTGGAGTCCTTTTTCCTAGTAGAAGCATAATGTGTGATCACTGTGGAAAACCTTTAAAATACAGAAAACATGAAAAATTAAGGGTTCTGTTCCTGTCCTCCAAACAGAGCCACTGTTTGGGATATTTTCTTCTGAGAGCCTTCGTGATGTCTGTAGATAATCCTGGGACTGTACCCGCAGATGGAGTTTTGTATCCAGATTTTTCCACTCACCATTGTGTCAAGAGTGGGAAAGAGAGTTTGGGGAGTGCAAGGAGCAGTCTTCGGGGTTGTATAGACTATGCGTGAATTCCAGCTGCACACTCTACCAGCCACAGGACCCTGAGCTCCTGGCTATAGTATGAGAAGGGCAACCCAACAGTGCTGTTGACCTCAAAGAAAGGTCGCCAGTCGCACCCAAAGCAGACAAGCCCCGCCCACTTCAGGCCCCACCCTCTGAGGGGAGGAGCCACCGGAGAGGCCAAGGCGGTCCGGAGACCTCGTGTCTCAGCCATCTTTGCAGCTCCCACTGTCCTCCAGCCTCTACCAGACCTGCTGGGAACTGGGAGGTGGAGAGCTCCTAGGGTTTGGAGCCAGGACATCCAGTCACCCTCTGGTCCTACCAATAATTTGCTGTGTGGCCTCTGTCAAGTCACTGATCCTCTGTGAACCCCAGCTGTAGAATGAGAAGACTGTACTCCGTCGGCATTTCCTAAGCAGTGTTACTAGGTCTAAGAAAATAAGATTCTGTTGGTAAATGCTGCACAAGCAGTTAAATGTTTCTCAGCTTCGGGACATTTGAAGAGCCTTTGATGTACTTGTGCGATAAAAACAACAACAGAAGACAATGTAGTCTGTAAAGTCACCCGGATTCATCATAGAAGCCCCATTTTCTTCCTGGGAAACCTAAAGGGAGGGAGACCTAACCCCAGAGACCTCTGCAGTCCTCATCCTCCGACACTTCCTCCCCATTTGTCATGCCCCAGTCCTTCTCCACAGCTCAAAGCATGCTGTTGACACTACTTCTTTCCCATCTCCCCGCACCCCCACCGCCCTTGACCTGCGCTGTTCTGTTCCCTCTGCCAGGCTTGCCCCTCTCCCCCTGACTAATTTCTAGACAAGATTCAGTTCTGAGAGCCTTTCCTCCAGGAAGCCCTCCCTGACATCCTGGCTGGGTTGGGCCCTTCTCTGCTCCCACAGCCCTGGTATGACATCTATCAAAGCTCATGATGTGCTGCTCATGACCTGGCTGTCCCCAGGACAGGCTGCTCAGCACCCTGGGAGCCCCGCCAGGGCCGGGCCAGCTCTGCTTCCTCTCTGTGACCACTGGCACTCATATTTTGGGGCTCGCTGAGGGGATGAAGGCAGCTGCACATGGTGAGGGAGGGCCAAGATAGTGAGTTGGAGAGAACAGAATCTCAGTGGCCGCAGGCAGACCCATGAGGACCCTCCCTGGCGCCAGCCTGAGACCCAGGCTGAATGTCCGTCCATTCCCTGCAGTGTCAGACGGGCACACATACGGCCGCCCGAGCCACAGGATGCGGTACGCCTGCGGCCCCGCCGAGGACTGGCCTCCGCCCTTGGACCTTAGCTCTGATGGGGACGTGGACGCCACGGTGCTCCGAGAGCTGTACCCAGACTCTCCACCCGGGTAAGGAGGCCACGCGGGGGCGGTAGGAGGGTCTGAGAGGGCGGGGCTCCGGGCAGGAAGCCCCGCCCCCACGGGAACTGGCAATACCCCAGATGGTACAAACGCAGAACACATCTGCTCAGTGGGCGTGGCCATCTCCTCACCCTCCTGACCAAGTGAGGCGGGGCGTGACTCAGCAGATGTCACCGCGGGACACTCCAAAAGGCGAAAAGAAGAAATGTTCAGTTGCTTCAGGCTGGGTGAGGAGCTGAGGTGGAGGGTCCAGGCCCGAGCCCCTTAGCTGTTGTTGAATTGCCTAGTCCTGTCCGATTCTTTGCGACCCCATGGACTACAGCACACCAAGCTTCCCGGTCCTTCACTATCTCCCGGAGTTTGCTGAAATTCATGTGCACTGCTTCGGTGATACCATCCAGCCATCTCATCCTCTGTCACCCTTAGTATGAGCCCCTGAGTCCAGATCACACCCGCTGGGACAGGTGTCACTGTCTCCAGTTGCGCCCATGGCCCACCAGGTGGCGCTGTCCTGGAGGATTCTCTTCCGGGTCCCGTCCTGGAGGCCACTCTCAGGCACCTCACCACCACTTAGGACCTGGAAGGAGGAGTCAGGGCACCAGCACGTCCCATCCTGGGGGTCCCCTTGCGCCCTGCACACAGTCCCATCCTCCCCATCACCTTTTTACCCTTTTCCACCACCACCCCCGGGGTCACTGGGAGGGATGGACTTTCCCGGAGGATGGGTGATTTTCTGCCCTGCTGCTTCAGGTTCAGAGAGGCCCCCAGGGAGTCCTCCCCAACCCTTGAAGGAGCACTTTGGGGTGACCTGAGACCAAGGAGTGTCTGGCTGCCCCCACCAGCGCTCCCCCACACTGGGAGCCCCACCTGGAGATGCTTCGGCAGTGGTGGCTGCTGCTCTAAGAGACCTGGGACCCAGCATTCGGTGACTCGCTCACACATGTTCACAGGGAAACCGGGGCTGAGTCAGGGCCAGAATCCAGGCCTCGATGTGCCTGGCGCTCCTCCCCAGGGAGTGGAGGGGTCTCACTGGAGTCAGTGGGACCAAGGCCTGGCCTGCTTCACTCCTGGGCAGGCTGTCACTGTGGCTACTAGGCCTCCAGCCCTTGGCGGGGAGACCCCACCACCTGCCACTGAGGCCAGCTTGCACAGGGCCTGAGGGAGCTTCTTCTCTTGCAGTTACGAGGAGTGTGTGGGGCCGGGTGCCACTCAGCTGTACATCCCCACGGATGCCCCGCCCCCCTACTCACTGACCGACTCCTGCCCCAAGCTGGACGGCACCCTGGATGCGGGCAGTGGCCACAGCCCCAGCCGACACCGGCAGGCGCAGAGGCCGCAGGGCCAGAGTGGCCTCCGCACTGTCTCCATGGACACCCTGCCCCCTTACGAGGCTGTGTGTGGGGCCAGCCCCCCGTCAGGCCGGCTGCCGCTGCCTGGACCACAACCAGGCCCGCAGAGCTGCCAGGGCTCGCCCGCCACAACCCAGGCCCCAGCCTTGGGCCCAGAGCAGATCATGTGAGTGACCTGGTGGTCAGGTCCTGCTGGCCCCTCGGGGCTGAGTCACATCTTTCAGGCACACAGGGGCATGTACACACACACACACACACACACACACACACATACAGATGCTCACACCGCACCCCCACATGCATACATATACACACAACTTGGACAGACACACACTGACACACCCATGTGTGCACACACATCCAGACATGCCCCTCTCATGTGCAGGTGTGCACACACACACAGGCCTACCCCCCCCCCGCCCCGATACACAATCCCACCTGCCAAGATTTCATTGCAGACGAGGCTCTCCTGACCTCCAGTCTCCTCCCCAGCCTGCCAGCAATGCCCCTGGAGCCAGTACTGGGAAAAGGGAGGCAGAGAATGGGCTGGGGTTCACTCGGCCCTCCCCCCAGGCCGTCTGCCCTGCTCTCACTGGGCAGGCTGGGCCCCAGCGCTGGCTCTGCTCCCTAGAAGCCGCTCAGCCATCCCAGGTCAGCTGCCTGCCCAAACTCACCCCCCACCCCCAGGAGGCAGCTGGTCCTCCGGTTGGCGGGACAGGCCTCAGTGAGGCTCAGCTCCACACTGTCTCTGTCCCCACCCTGGGGCAGAAGAGTCACAACACCTGCCACTTACAGGGTGAGGGACACGGGACTAGGGGCCCAGGCACATCTGGAGAGCCTCGCCTCACCCTGCCCCATCCTTAACCCAGCCCACCCTCCGTCTGGCGGTGCTAGCGGAATTGTCTCCAAAGCCCCCACTCCAAGCCACAAGTGATGGACAGGGCCCTCAGCGGCGTGCGGTGGTGGTGGGGGGTGGTGGTAGTGAGTCACGGCTGTGCCCATGTCTGTCCAACCACTGCCTGGGACTGAGGGTCTTCAAAGAAGACGGGGAGGGGCCTGCCTGGGGCCAGGCGCTGAGGCAGAGGAGCAGCCCCTCACTAGGTACATGCCCTGCCGACCATTAATGGCCTAAGCTTGAGTGGGCTGGAGACAGACCCCCAGAGCAGTGCTGTCCCTCTGGGTGGGGGCTCAGGTTGGGAGTTGGGAGCCAGCACCTTCTGGTCTGCCCTCCATGGTGCTGGAGCAGATGAACTCAAGGGGATGTGGGCCCCACCGTGCCACCTCAAGAGGACCAGTGGTTGCATCTCAGCCTTGCTGCTGGGGCTACCGCAGAAAGGGGTTCGTGGGCCTGGTTGTAGACAGACTCAGACCTTGGCCCCTGAATCCCAGCAATTTCCATCAGAGACCATGCAGGTAACAGAGCTGATGCCTGCAGATCCAGCTTGCATGAGGGTGGCAGCCCAGCGCCAGGGAAGAGCGTCCCCGCCGGCATCACCAGCGGCAGTCCTCCAACCTACCCTGCCTCCCTTCCCACCCCCTCCGTAAACTGCAGCACCCCCAACCAGCCTCTCCCCCACATTTCCATTCCTCCAATAAAGGGCTAAGACAATTTAGTAATCCCTTTCTTAAGAAGAGAGGTGGCGAGGAAGGCAATCGTGAATCTTATTTTCTGTAGAAATAGCATTTCTTCTGGTGCAGAACTGAAAGGAATCCACCCAGAAGTTCTGTAGCATCCTGGAGCCCCTGACTCTGCCTGGGGAAGGGACCTTGTTTACACGCAGTTTTGTCCACCTTTGTGGTGTACTGTTTTCTAGGCAAAAAAATAATCTCTTGTCTGTTGTACTGTATAGCCTTTAAAATGCACTCCAGGGGTGAGGTTCTTTTAAGAAACTCATCTTGCTTCTGCAACCCTAGAAAGTGCCAGGGTTGGGGGGGAAGGTAAAAACCCCCACATGCTCATCAGTGTTGAAGGGATGGAGCCGAGCAGCTTTTCTTGTCCCTGGATTAAGCGCTAAATAAGCAACAATGTATCTTTTCTGTGTTCAAAATAAATATATCAATAAAAAATGTTGCAAGAAGTAGCCTGAATAAGAAGCCTATGGTGGGGTTGGCACCATCTGACACTTGTAAGAAAAGTGTTAAATAGCAGCAAACTGAAAATATGTTACTTTTCTTAAAATCAGCAGTCACCAAAACCTTGTTATTCTTCTAGGACAGGGATATTTGGGTAGTCAGTGATTTACACCAGTTAATTTGTTGTTGTTGTTTAGTGGTTAAGTTGTATCTGACTCTTGGTGACCCAATAGACCAGCAGCCTGCCAAGCCCCCCTGTCCATGGGATTTTCCAGAAAGGAATACTGGAGTGGGTTGCCATGTCCTCCTCCAGGGGATCTTCCCCAGACCAAGGACTGAATCCACATTTCCTGCTTGGCAAGTGGATTCTTTACCACTGAGCCACCTGGGAAGCCGTAATTTTTTTTAAAACCTCTCTAAAACATGCCATTGATTCTCCAAGACTTGGCCAGTGTAACTGCCACCAAGACAGGCCACAGCCTTGCAGGACTTGACTCCAGGAACACCAGAAGACTGGCATTTCACTCCACACTCTCACAGCTTTGACTACCAGGAAGCAGTGGGGAAGGTGTGAGGGAGGAAATTAGGCTGAGGTGACTAAAATAAGGCATTTTCTCCCCCTTTGCAGAAATTCTTTTGTCTCTGCTTTCCATAAGACTTTGGCTTTGGTTGTTGATCCGTTGTCTGACAGGTTCCCTTTCTCTGTCACTCTTGCCTCCTACTGGAATTCAGGTAGAGTCCATCAGCATAGTCCTAAACCCCCAAGGGCCCTGTAAGTGGGGTGCGATCCTGAAGGAAGGCACAGCCTTGTCCTAGGCCCCACTGCAAGCCCACACTGCCACCTGCTGGCTGCCTGCCGCCACTGTTCAAAGCCAGTGAGTCCGCCCCTGAAAGATGCAAATTCCCTTCTCCCCGTTTCTAACCCACTGCCTGCGGACACTCGTAGTTGTAACAGAAATTGTTTTGGTCCTGGGCTTGTCCTCCACCCTTGGGATGTTCCATGAGGTTTAAACCGTTCAAGCATTCCATTTACAGGAATCATTCCTGCCACCACCCCACACCCCCACCCCGCAGCATCTCTCTGGGCACAGGCAGATAGCTCAGCACCTCTCACGGTGTGCAAAATAATGACTCTCCTGTCCTAAACACCACTGTGCACAGCTCAGGTGCCACCTCTGTACTCTGAGGCCCCTTCTGGGGATGAATGTGGCAGCCTTCATGGTGGTGCTGCCCAGCCCAACTGGTACCCATGGCAATCCCAATCTGAACGACCCCACACCCACACCCAGTTCCAAAAGCAAACAAACTCAGGATCCCACCACCCCCCAGGGGTTATCAAGCTCAGTGTTCTCCACCTCCATCCACAGCATGCCTTGTGTCCACTCTGACACACTATGGCGTGTTCACCTATGGCGCCACATCCAAGTTCCTCACACTCCTAGAAGGAGACTTGGCTCTCTCTGCCAGGGGGCCCTGAGAGGTTAGGCCCACATGAGCACTGGGCCGGCTCATCGGGGCCCCAAGAAGATGGAAGTGAAGCTAAATTCCCAGGATGGTGGGGATGGGAGGAGGGGCAGGGCCAGCCCTGGGACAGGATGGGTGTGCAAGGGGTTGATGAGGAAGCTGACCCCAGGAACAGCACCAGGGAGTGGGACGTGAAACTGGGAAGGGTGGGAAGCCCAGGTAGGGTGTTGTTGAGCTGGTTGCCACTGTGGGCAACTGCGCTTCATCCCCCTGGCAACTCCGAGAGCCAAAGTGGAGCTTGCCTCAGGGTTAGTTGGCCAGTGGGGAGAGAGGTGGGTTAATCACACACGGCTCTCAGATTCTCAAGGGTCACTGTCTGAGGCTGCCCTTCAGCCAAGAATGTTAACCCCTCCACCTTGTGCAGCTGAGCAGCTCCTCTGGCCCAAGTCTTCAGACTGGGGACCTTCAGCTGAGGCCATCACCCTGGCCTGTGTGGGCTGCCACTGGGCCATTAAGCATGGGCATACTGCTTCCATGGCCTCCAGACAGGCACGCGTGAGCAGCAGGAATCACTCGAGAGAGGGAGGAACAGGGTGGATGCCGAGCACAGCCGTCCACAGCGGCCCCTTGGGACACCCACTGGCTTGCACCAGCCAAGCCCACCCATGTTTACACACACACAGGGGTCTCTCACATCAACTTCCTAAGAGACTCTCAGACACACACTTGTGTGCAGCATCACACAGCTCACACACACACACACTGTGCCCCTCACACTCAGAGCTCACACACCCAGAGGTCCCACCCCAAGGCTACCCACACTCATGCTCAGGTATCATCATCGGTGTCCCCCGAAGACTGACCAGGCTGGGGGCATGAGCGGTGGAAGGACCCACAGCATCATCACCCAAGAGAGTGAATGCCCTATCTGAAGTTTGGCTCTGCTGACCTCACAGTGCTACACCCCAAGCCCAGGTGAACTCTCTTAATTGGGACCGATTGCCTAGGGCGGGCAGACCTGGTGTTTCTGGGCTGGGGGGCTGGGCACGGGGGTTGCAGCCCAACTGTGCCTGTTAGCATCTCTTCAAGGACTCCCAGGTCTGAGGCAGCCTCAGGCCCCGAGGTCACAGCCTCAGCCAGACCACAGCAAGGCATCCATCCAGCCTGCCTCCTAGGACCTTGAGCCAGTCCCCGTCCTCTCGGTCTCAGGACCCACTCCCCACCAGCCTACCCTGAGTCAAAGCAGGATGCCAAACGTCCACCAACACTCTCCCACCCAAGCTGACCTATGCCTCCTACCCAGAAGGGTGATCAGATGTGACCTGGGCCAGTTACCTAACCTTGCCAAGGTTCAGGATCAGGTGAACTAATGTGTGTCAGAGACTAGCATCCGCACCAGTGGACCTCAGATGATGGATTCAGACCAGCCGGGAGACCCATTCCCAAGTAGCCCTCCCATTGGGAAGTAGTTCCTAATGGGAGAGGTAGGAACGCTCTGGCCATTGAGCTCAGAAAACGTGGCAGGGGAGTCGGGGGCTGGGAACAAAGGGGCCCTGGGTGTGGCCAGCGCAGCTCTGAGCTGCTCTGAGGCCAGGCGCCAGGCAGAACAGATGCCCTTCCTGGTGACCGGAGGGGCCGCAGGCCAGCAGAGCCTCCCAGAAAGCCAACGATGGTCAAGAACCAGATCTTCCTCGGCTGTGTGACTGCCAGGTCACAGCCAACTCATGCAGAGCCACCGCACCTTCCACTAGGCCCTCCAGACAGTGAGCCACCGAGGTCAGGCTCCCAACTGCCTCGGAAGCTACACCCCTCCCCGTCCCTGCCCCAGGCCAGTGTAGAAGGACATGGGCCACTGGTGGTACTGCCCCAAGCACCAGAAGAGAGCCTTGAAAGGACCCAGGGTCTGAGAAGTCAGGAAACAGTACACAGGTTGCCCCCTCCTAGGAACTCACACCCCTTAGGACAGGTCCTGATGCCAAGAAGCCAGGAGATCTTATTTAATCCAGCAGTTCCCAGATACATTTGGCCACAGGAAATATTCACTCATGGGAGATTGATTAAGAACCCCAGATAAGTGCTCTTCCGTGGAGCACACTTTGAGAAATGCAGACCCATGTGGAAGGAAGGAGTGAGTCACCGAGTGACTGAATGAATGAGTGAATCATCACTGAAGTAAGTAGTAGGTGAAGGGAAGAAAGGAAGGAAGGAAGGAAAGAAAGGGGGAGGGAAGAAGGGAGGAGAGGGAAGGAGGGAAGGGATAAAGGCTAGATGAGAGAGTGCATAGGTGACTGGTCCATCTCAACCCCCTCAAAAACCAGTGCCTGATTCAACCTCTGGGTCTAAGTAGTTTATGTGGGAGGTGATCCCAGGAAGCACAGTGAAGGAACCGGGAACTAAGACAAGGGAGGGAGCCGAATCAACAGAGACGAACTTATGAGCAGGTTGTTGCTGTGGACATCTGAGGTGGTCCCACGGGGACCCTCTCAGAGACAGGGTAGAACACACCTCAGAACCATCCCACCCATGGCAGGATGCCAGGGTTTGCACACACAAAGCCTCCTTGCTTGGCCGCAGCCTTGGCCAGCTCCAGGATGAGGAGTAGCGACAGACTGCACAAGGTCCCGCTTTCTCTTTTGCTAACACAACTTCCTCCTCGGCTTCCTGATTGAGCCGTGGGGAGGGACAGAGGCGGGCCAGCCTAGGCGGCCACGGGACTCTGGTCTGCATCCAGCCCCTCACAGCCGCCATGAGCTGGTCCCAGGCCCCGGGCCCCAACGAGGACTCTCTTGAGACCCTCCTCGAAGACCTCATCAGTTTCTACCTGGAGGGGGCAGGAGAGGGCCGGCTCGGGGTCTGCAGGCAAGCCACTCTCACCAGCAGGGCCCAGCAGCTCCTGGACACAGGGCCCCCTCTTCAGCTCTACCTGCCTGAGGAGGTGGCCCCTGACTCAGGGGCTTCCTGCTCTGCCCACCATATCAACCACAAACTGGTGCGGGCACTGGAGTTCCTGGAATTGGTCTCTATCCACCTGCTCCTATTTCCCTGGAGGAAGGAAATCAGGTCCCTGAAGGTAGGTGTCGCCACTACCCTGGGAGAGAGTCTCAGGGAGGGGCCAGGGCCCTGCCTCGGGGTGGGGGAGGGAACAATGTGTCTGTCATGCCCACTGACTTTGGTCCCATTTTACAGTTGGAGAAACTGAGGGCTAAAGAGTTTAATGCAACTGATCTGTAGTCTGAGTCGCTTCAGTTGTGACCAACTCTTTTCCATCCTACAGCCCTGAGCCCACCAGCCTTCTCTGTCCATGGGATTCTCCAGACAAGGATACTGGAGTCGGTTGCCATTTCCTTCTCCAGGGGATCTTCCCAACCCTGGGATCGAACCTGAGTCTCTGTCTCCTGCATTGGCAGGCAGGTTCTTGACCACTAGCGCCAACCTGGAAACTGATCTGTGGTCACCAGCTAATACACAGCCCAGACTCAGACAGTGCCACTCTGAACCACTAGGCTCTACCGCTTCTCTAGAGAACAGGCCACGAGGAGGTCACAGGAAACCAGGGAAAGGCCTTGGCTGTGGAAAGCCACTGGAAAGCTTTCACCGCTTCTGGCTCCAGGCCAGGGCACTGGCTGGCTCGTTCTTCCGCTGCGTGACTTGAGACAAAAGTCCCGCCTCTGAGCCTCAGTGTGTCCTTCTGTAAAATGGGACAGGGGTGACATGCCTGTGGGCCAGGTTTCCTTACGGCCCCATGCCCTGGCCCTCCTGCTTCTCAGGAGCCTCCGGGCCAGTCTTCGGTCTTTCCCCTCACAGGCGCTCTGCTCTTACGTGTCCCACCCTAACGAGCACCCCTGTTTGTTCCAGACGTACACGGGGAGCTTTGCCTACTGGGTGCGGCCTGTGCTTTCAGAACACACGCTGCACACCCTCCTGGGCCGGCTGGGCTACATGGCCACCTCCGAGGTCGAGTTTTCCCTGGTCCAGGCTATCAGCAAGGAGGACACCAAACAGATGGTGTTTGAGATCTTCCTGACAAGAGTCGCGTGTGAGGCCGTTCTCAGGACCCCGGGCAGGCAGCTCCTCGGGCAGGGCAGAGAGAGGGTGACTGTGCCCCACCATAGGCCTGGCTCAGAGACAGCGCTGCAGGAGACCCCGTGGGAGGCCCAGCTTGGCCCAGATCCCTCAGCAGGGGTGGGAACTGAGAGCGCCCTGGCCGAATGCCCTGATACTCAGTGCTGCCTGCCTGTGGCCTTGAACCTGCCTGAGGTCTCGACAGCCCCCCACGGACTCCTGACTGGCCCCCTTGTCCCCTCGGGCCCCCTGCGCTGTGCCAGCACATGCTCCGACAGTGAGGAGTTCCTGACCTGCTACAGCGACCTCGCACTGCACCAGACACCCTTGCTGCCCTGGGACCAGCCCTGGAGCAGCCTGGAAGGGAAGCAACTCCAGGGCCCAGGCCCCGGGCCTGGCCCAGCTCCGGGGGAGGTGGCCGCTGCTTCAGGTAGCAGTGGTGAGCAGCCCTGGGTCCCCGACAGGGCTTCTGAGTGTATAGGGGCCACCATCCCCAGCCAGCTCTGCCAGAGGCCCAGGTCCTGTCTGTCAGAGAATTCCTTGGCCCCAAAGCCAGGTGCTCTACCAGATCGAGCTGCTCTTGGCATGGACACTGAGCCTCCAAGTGCTTCCGTGGAGATGGACAAGCTCTGTGAGCACTTCACCCAGCTCCTCAGAACCTCAACTCCAGTGGGCTATCTGGGGGACGCCCCTGGCCCCAGGGTTGAGGAGGAGGGACAGTCGGAGCCTCTCATGGGGCAAGAGCCAGCCAGCGAAGGCGGCAGCCTGGACGGTAGAGTTGCTCTGCTCTGGAGGTCTCCGCAGGCCCCCACTTCATATACAAGAGCCCCCAGTGCTCACTACACCCCCCTTAAAGGGCTGGAGGAGCCAGTTCCCACATGGGGATCCTACACGAGCCACAGCTGAGCATGTCACTCCGAGGGAACAGGGGCGGACTCCCTAAGCCAACCGCTCTTCTTCCAGGAAGATGACACTTGAAGAAATGATGGGTCTGGGACCACAGTGGGGACACCAGCCAAATCCCCAGCATGTCAGCCACGGGGACCAGTCTGCTCATCCCAGCCAGCCCTGCCACCTACAGACTGTGTGACTCTGGGCCACTCCCCACACCTCTCTGAGCCATGCTTCCTTGTCTGCAAAGTGGGGGTGATGTCAGATCTGCCTCACAGGGAGCTGAGATGGGTTAGGAGGTGTGTGCACACTGCCAAACTCAGGAGTGGGGGCACTTCCTGTCCCCTTCACATCCCAGCTCAGTGTGTGACCTTGGGAGCACCATCACCCTGCATCTCTGAATGGCAGCCTCCCTTGGCATCCTTCAGGCACCTGTCACAGGGCAGATTACACAACAGCTGTGTAGACAAGCAGACGTGTAATCCGCCATCCATCTGTTCAGGGTCGTCTGTCTGCCTCCCTCTTCTCTCAGCTAACTTCTGGTTGACAGAGAGCAAGGCCACAGTTGGAGCCCAGGGTGAGCTCACGGGCCTGCTCTGCATCCAGGGCTGGGGGCTTCATCACCCAGGCTGTGTGGAGTGAGGGTGCCCCTCCACCAGCCTTTCCTGCCCCAACATATGCATGCATCCATGCACACAAGTGGGTGCCCCCAGGCACGTGTACACACATGCACATGGGCATTCCTCACGGCGGCCCAAGAGAGAGTGGTCTCCCTCTCCAGCCGAGAGCCTCTCTATGGAGTGGCAGGCGGCACCTGCCCAGGGCCTGCCCCTCGGCTTTGCTTCTGTCCAGTGGGGAGGATGACGCCTACCCCTGAGAGTGGTGGTGAACAGTAAGGTTTCCTAATACAGGGGGTGGGAAAGGCCCCTTCTGGGGCTCCCCAGGTGGCTTAGTAGTAAAGAATCTGCCTGCAGGAAATATGAGTTCAATCCCTGGGTCAGGAAGATCCCCTGGAGGAGGGCATGACAACCACTCCAGTATTCTCGGCTGGAGAACCCCATAGACAGAGGTGCCTGGAGGGCCACAGTCCATGGGGATCACATAGAGTCGAACACAACTAAGTGACTGACCATACATGCAAAGACCCCTTCTGGTATACAGCAGGTGCTTAATAAATGTTGGTGCCTGCCTTGTTGTCCCCAGAGCTGAGTATTTGACTCTACCATTTTCAGTCCGAAAATCAAGGGGGACCACAGGAGGATTTAAGGAACACTGGCCCCACCTCCCTTGCAACCCGACAGCTGGTCAGGCCCTACACTGACTTTGAGACAAATCGGAAAGCAGACTGCACTGGGGAGAAAGAGGCATACTGGTCAGGCATCCATCCATCCATCCTTCCTCCAAGCCACTCATGCCAATTACTCCACACAGCACCCAGCCATCAACACCCAAACTGGTGAACTGTCAGTGTCTGGAGCCAGTGGAGGTGGGAGTGGTGGTTTTAGAGCAGACCCCAGCCAGCCTCCATCCTAGGGAAGAACATCAGGACCAGGCTGGAACAGGCTGGGCTGGACACAAAGAGGGTCAGGAACCTCAGGAGAAAGGATGAGGAGGGAGCAGGGACGGACCCGGGAACCATAGTCACCAGGGCACCTAGTCCTGGGTCTGATTCACAGCCCCTGTCCATTCTCTATTCATTATTTTCTGATTATTAACATAATGAATAGGCTCAGTCCCAAAGCACAACAGAACTTTTGCTCTCTCCCCAGGCTCCTGCCCCCAGTGTTCCCCACTTACTGGCAAGCTGAAGCCCAAGGTAGACATCCTTCTTGATTTCTCTCTTTCTCACATCCTTCATCCAACGATAGTTCTGTCACAACAAGAACCAAATCTGACCACGTCCCTCCTCCTTCCACAGAAGGCTGAGCCCCTGACTGAGCTACCAAGGCCTCTCATTCAGATCCCTGGAGGACACCAGCCCCCTCCCTGGTCTCCCGGCCTCCACCCTCATCCCCTGCAGTCAGCTCCTCCAGCTGCTGAGGATTCTGTTAAAACCTAGATTCCATCATGACTCTCAGGTGTTCCACTCCTTCCCGGGGCTCCCAAGGCCATACCAGGCCCCATCGGCAGGGCACATCCTACCCTTTGGACATCCTCTCATGCCCCCTGCCCCACAAGCCCCCTGCAGCCAAGCTACCCAGACTTCTTCTGGGCTCTTGAACAAGCTAAACCCACCCCTACCTCACAGCCTCTGTGGAGACTGTTCCCTCTGCGCTCTCCCCACTGCACGCTCCTCCCCATCTTCTCTTTCCTGTTAGTCACATCTCACCTTATACGTCACCTTCTCACGAAGGCCTTCCCTGGCCATCAATCACATCAGCTTAGTTCAGTTTTCTGCACAAAGGTATCTTCAATGTATTTATTCATTTTCCCTTTCATGCACTAGGATTTAAACTCCATGAGGGAGACAGTTGTCTCATTCACCAGTGTTTCCAAGTCTCCAACAAATGAAACAATCAAATGATAGAAAACACAGAGAGGACAGATGAATGTGAAAACAAAAGTAAAAATGACCATAATTTCCACTGTTTGGAGACTGCCAATGTTATGTTGTGGATGCAGTTCCTTTCAGTCTGTTTTTCTACACATACGTATATTAAAATTGGGGGATTATAATGTTTATGGTATTGTGTTCTGTTTTCATTTCCCATGAAAGGAGTCATTTTAAGCTAATTTTAGACTTAGAAAAAAGTTGCAAAATAGCACAAAGAATTTTCTTCTCTCCCTCACTTGGCTGCCCCTAAAACTGTCATTGTACACAACCACAGTGTGATCAAGAACATGAAACTGATATTGATACAATTATTATCAAACTATGTTGTTGTTTAGTTACTAAGTCATGTCCAACTCTTTTGCAACTCCCTGGACTATAGACAGCCAGGCTCCTCTGTCCATAGAATTTTCTAGGCAAGAATACTGGAGTTGCCATTTCCTTCTCCAGGGGATCTGCCCAACCGAGGAACTGAACCCACGTCTCCTGCATTGGCAGGTGGACTCTTTACCACTGAGCCAAACTCTATTTAAATTACACCAGTTTTTCCATTAATATCCTTCTCTATTCCAGGATCCTCTCCAGGATCCCACATGACATTTGTGAGTTTTCATCCCCTCCAATCTGTAATCGTTTCTGTCTTTTTCCTGTCTTTGATGATCTTATGCTTTTGATCAGAACTGAATACCATTCAGGTATTTTGTTGAATGTCCCTCAGTTTGTTTGTCTGGTGTGTTTTTATGGCTGGAGTGAGGTTAGACATTTTGGGCAGGAATACCACCATTTAAAAAACAAAAGGATGCTGTGTCCTCAGTGCATCTTATCAAAGGATGTATGATGTCCATGGATCTTGTTACTGATATTTACCTGCCCTGGAATAAACCACTACAATCTCTGGTTCCTTGTATTAGAGAATGATGTTTAGAGACCAAGATCTAAGTGCCAGGTCTACACAGTGTTACTGGGTGTCACGCTTTCTAAGCCCACTCACAAGACAGAGTTAGAAAACACACATATGTATACTAACCCACGCATAGGCACACATAGCTATATTTCCATATCTAGCTATATATAATTTTAAAATCATGAGTTCACACTGAGACCTCTGATTCTAATCCAATACCACAGGGTTTATTCTACCCTTACTCTTATTTATAACTTCTAACAGTGAGAAACACAGCTCTCATAATCTACAGATTATTTACTTATTTGTTTTAGTCTATTAAATTGAGTCTACTAAACTGATCCTAGTATAGTTTCAGAATTGCTAAATATATCCCTATGAGAAATACTTTTAATAACTATTTCAGCACTTATGTGAAGTAACTTTTACCTTTACTCCTCTCGTGTCCAATCTAGATAATTTTCCAGGGTTACTTCAGTTAGTTCTTCCCAGCACCTTCGATGTGGTCATGACTTACTGGTGCTTCATCTGTGTTTGCATTCCATCTTCCATTCCCCTATATCTTAGTCAACTGTTTATTTGGGGCGGGGGGTGGTATGTGAGACATTACTATGGTTCTAAAAGTCAGGGTTACTCAAAATGATATATTCACTGAGTACATCCCCTTCTCATCCCAGCAACCCTGAACCCATTCAATTTTCCTTCTTTCCAGCCTTTTCCCACCAAGCTGCTTATTTTCTGGATTATCTTTCCTGTACTCCCTATACATCTGTGTATTTTTCTTAAGCTAGGATACTCTAGATACTCATTTGGACATTATTTACTAACCTGAACAGTATGTCCTGGAAATCTGTATCACATCTGTTCAGAGAGATCCTTCTCATTCTATTTCACAGCTGCATACTACTCCACTGTATGGATGTACCATGGTTTACTTAACCACTCCCTTATATATGAGTCTTTAGGTTGTTTTCAATATTCTGCAGCTACAAACAATGTTGCAGTAAATAACCTGTGCATATATATTTTCACATCCTAGAAGTAGGGTTGCTAGATCACAATCAAAATGTATATACATATGTAGTTTGTCAGGTGGTGTCAAAATTTCCCTCTAGAAGGGTTGTACAAACTTGCACACTCACCAGTAATGTATGAGAGTATTTCCCCACAGCCTCAATAATAGAACATGTTGAGATGTGTGTGTATTTTTTTTTTCTGCCAGTCTAGTAAGTATCTCGGTATTCTTTTAATTGCTGTCTTAGTCTGTTCAGGCTGCTATAACAAAATACCAAAGGCTGAGGGCCTTATAAACAACAGACATTTAAATCTCAGGGTTCTGGAGGCTGGAAGCCCAAGATTGTGGTGCCAGCATGGTTGGGTTCTGGTGAAGGTCCTCTTCCAGACTGCAGATTGCCTATGTCCCTCTGTTCCCTCATGTGGTCAAAGGGGCTTGGGACCTCTGTGGGTGTCTCTTACCAGAGCACTAATCCCAACTGAGAGGGGTCCACCTGCATGACTTAATCATCCTGCTCCTAAAGTCCCTCTTCCTCACACTGTCACCTTAGACATTAGGTTTTCAACATATGAATTTAGGGGAGACACAAATACTTAGACCATAGCATCTGTATTTCTCTAATTAAGTGAATTTGAGTATTTTTCCTATCTTTCAGTGCCAGTTTAATATCTTTTTTGTAAATTGTTTGGATAGTTTTCTCATTTTTCTATTGGAGTTTTGGTTCTTTGTCTATTTTTAAGAATTCTTCAAGAATATTAATCCTTTGTGATACATGTTTTGAATATCTTCTCCCATGTTGTAAGATGTCTTTTGACTTTGTTTTCTCATGGCTTTTGTCATATACATTTTTAAGACAGATTTATCAATCTTATTATTCCTGGATTTGGAATCATAGTTACAAAGTTCTACTACCTTGAGGTTTCAAAGAATTCATTCTTACAGTATATGCATGGTTTCATTTTTTACATGTAGATTCCTAAACCACCTGGAGTTTATTCTTGGGTATGGTGTGAGATATGAATCTATTCTTATCTTTTTACAAATGATGACTCAGTCATCTCAGCACTGTTTATGTAAAAATCCATCTTTACCCCCCAGTAATCAGAGATGCCGCCCTTATCATGTACTTACATCTACTCCTGGGCTTTCTAGTCTATTCCACAGGTCTATTCATGCACCAGTACCACACTATTTTAATTATAGACGTTTTATAGTATGTTTCAACATCTAGATCCCCAAAGGTAAGATTTATTTAAAACTTAGCACTTGCCCATGCTCTGGGCCCCTGCCACACATCAGGCCAGTTATCCTCACAACACTAGAAGTGAGCAACGCTCCCATTTGACAGATAAGATAAACCAACACTCACAAGAGATTCAGTGATATATCAAGTTTTCATGGGAATTCCTGGATGTCCACTTCCAGAAAACCTGAAGCTACCAGAAGTGGTCCCCAAAGCATGCTTCCTGACCAGCAGCCTCATTATCACCTATATAGCTGTTAGAAAATAAATTCTCAGGCACATCCCAGATCTGCTGTACTAGAAACTCTGGGGGTAGGCCCTGCAGACCATGCCTTAACATGCCCATCAGAGGATTCAGATGGCCTAAAGTTAAGAGAACCAGGAGCTACAGCATCTCAAAGGGCCCAGAACTGGAAGTCATCAGCAGCTGCAGGCACCCTAAAACAGTGCTTATCAACATGTGTTCCAAGGAACACTCAGACACCTGGGAGTTAATAACCCCCTAAACGAGGGGTTCTACTGTCAAATGAGTCTGAGAGTCCCTGGCTAAAGCAAATTTCAGAAGGCATTTTTATTGCAGTACTTCCTGACTTTACCTAGGCTAACATACTTTGTGCAGCTCAGAGAGAGTACCCAGGTGGTGGATCCCTAATTCGCTGGACTACAAAACCCTCTTTTCCCAGAGTACCTATTACTATGTCCCCAGACACATGTGTTCCGTGAACCTGTCTTGGAGAAGAAAAAGCCAAAAGATGCAACAATTCAAGAGGACAGCATTAAGTGCTAATACCCATTCTGATCCCACAAGCTTAGCTTCTGTTTAATGACAGCTTTGGCCAAGTTCACCATCTTATGGAAACTAGAGGAACACAGAGTTTACCCCAGCCTCAGGGGAGCCACGGGGTTGCGGTTATTAAGAAAAAAAAGTTGTGTTCATTGACCTTGGCCCTTGGTAAGTGAGTAACCCACTGCCAAAGCCCAGAGGCACTGGGTGCAATATAATTGTTGTTATATTCTCAATGGTGGAGGCCTGACATTTCTGAGAGCTTGTCAATTATTCTAATAACTGTTAACTCTTCAGGGTGGAGGCCAAGGGAACAAGTGTTACTCATTCCACACATAATGTAAGCATTTGACGTGAGCTCCCCCACCCGACTCCAGGAAAACGAGGGTGAGGCAGATTCAATAGCACCCAGGGGTAGACAGGTTTTGAAAACACCTCCTATCTGCTCTCAGAGCAATAAATACCTCAATCCTGCCTTCCCCAGGTGGGACGCTGGGAATCTGCAGGAATCCCAGGAAATGTCTCGACTATGCACTCCCCAGGCAGGGGGGCACTTCTCATCTAGGTGAGGGGTTCTGGTGGAAAGGAGGCAGGAATGGGAAAAACAGGCTGGGTGACATCATTTCCCAGAGTCCACGTTTAGCAAGGGGCTCCTGAGAGCTCCACTGTGGGAGCCCACTGGCCAGTGCTGAGGACCTCACAGTACCACCTCACAGATGGTGAGGGTGGGGTGATGTGAAAGCAGAAGGGAGGGGAGAAGGGGCCCAGAGGCACCACGGAACTGAAACCAGACTGTGTGGTCCAGCCTTCCTGCTTGCCTGTCCCCCACCTCCGAGGTCTCTAGCAAAGTCCAGTCAGAATGTTCCAGCTTATCTTGTACAAAAGTCACCATCCACATCTGAATTTAGGTGTGAATGGTAGGGGAGAGAGGGCAGTGTGCCCCGATGTCAACACTAGACAGAACAGGAACTCCAGAGCCATCCTGGACAGGAAGGCCCCTGGAGGAAGAAAGCTTCAAACCAGGAAGTCAATCTGGGGACAGAAAGGCAGAAAGAGGCTGGGACCCGATGGTCTTGAGCCACCACACCAGCCCTGGACCACCCACAGCTGCACTTCTATGTGAAGGAGATACATACTTCTATTTTTTGGGGTTTTTTTTTTTTCTTTAATCACATTTCCCCCCAGTACAGATGCTCAAATTGAGCTGTGGGGAAAACTGGACCATTCGTCTGCAAAGTCCCAAAGCTGGTCCCGGCATGTCCAGGTGCCTGGTAGCAGTGGCTGTGTTTCCTGCTGGTCCATCACTGACGTCGAGGCTGAGACGCATCCCCTCCTGTGCACTGGCCCAGGATCGGTCCCACCAGGAAGGGCCAGGAGCCAGAGTGCTGCCCTCCGGGCACTGCCTCTGGGCCCGGGCCACCAGGGGCACCTGTCACCAATCTACAGCAGCGAGTTGTGTGCACCAGTGCCTCACTCACTCGGAGGCCGAGACGAGAACTTCCAACCTTCTGGCACCCTGACCGCCACTCAGGAGAGGCCAAGGCCTGTTCCCCCAAGTTCATAATCAATCCGCACCCCTGCGTCCGCACACGGCCTTCTGGAAGCTCTCTCCACCCACCTCGGAGGTTCAGGAGCTCCAGTGCTGCAAGAGCCTTTGCTTGCAAGCCCCATCCTTCCCGTCCAGATTGTCCTCGGAGAGAACGCTCTTTCTGTCTCTTGCTGCTACTTGACTCAGGAGACAGCTGAGCCTTTGATGCACTGTTAGCTGAACACAGCTAAGACAGTCTCTGAGCTAATAAAGATGGCTCATCCTCTGTGGCCCGCGGTGTCCCCTTGGATGGAAAAACATTTCAAAATGACTTAAGGCCACTGGTGTCTCTCCCCTGGGCCACAAACTCTCAGGAACTCCAAGGGTGAAGCTCATCATGCAAGCCACTAAGGAGGGAGGGAGCCTCAGAAGCCAGGCTGGCAGCCCCTTGCCCCCGTGTTGCACTGGCACAGCAGCCCGGGGGGCCACGGGCCACTGCCCTGACAGGTCATCAGCAGCCGCTCAAGCATGAGCTTTGTCACCAAGGAGACCGAGCACCATTCAAGAGCCAGTGCACACCTCTCCTAAGTCAGGGAAGTCCTGATGAGGTGTTAATCAGCCTCACGCTAGAGAATGGATGAACTCTGGGCTCAAGCCAAACGTGGCACAATTTTGTGAAAGTCAAGAAACGCTAACTGTCCTCAAGGACGGCTCAAACCATGAGAAAATGATGATGCCGGCTGCACACACAGTTGGCCCTCCCCACACACGTGTGAGGGTCTCCAGTAGGCAAGGTGGGGCTCGGGGCTGAGGCAGCGATGGGCTGGGAGTCGCCAGAAGTCTGAACAGTGCTGACCCCACCATCACTGGCTGTGTGACCCCGGGGATTCCCTCAGTCTGAGCTGCAACTTCCTCCCCTGGGATGGAAGACCACTACCCTGCCCTCCTGGATGGCCTGAAGGGCTAGAGACCACGAGCCCAGCACAAGTCAGGTGGAACTGCACTAGCTTAGAAGGACCCAGCGGTGGGAAAACACCAGAAGAAGCACCCGGGGAATGCAAGGCTGTGCCACCAGAGGGCACACAAACCCATTGGTCCCATTCACCCACGAGGCCCGGGATCCCAGGATGAAGACACTGGGAAAGGAGAGAAGGCCAGGAGGAAGACAACTGTGGGCGGATACAAAGCCCTCCTGAGAGTGCAGTTTTCCAAACTGCTCCTAACAGCTAACCTGGCAGCAGCAGGCATTTCTCAGGCATGATCTTCCCTATCCTATGGACCACGCTTCCGATTCCCCTGAGTTAGGATTCGGTGCCGGTTTTGTTCAAAGAGCTCTAACATTTTCTGCATGTTGTGGTCAGCCTCGATCACCTGGAAATGAAACACAGGGGTCACAGGGCTGCACCTGACCTCAACATCCTCTTCCCTTCACAGAAGGAGAGAGAGAGAGACAGAGGCGGGCAGGATGAGGCAGGGAAAGGCGCAAAAGCCCAAGGTCACAGGCAGGGGAACAGGGTGGTCAGAGCCAAGCCCACAGTTCTAGGTCAATCCACATTCTCAACTGTATTTTCACTTAAGAATCCAGGACGGTCGTCCGCGAATGCTTTATTTTCTCATCATTTTATATCACCTACTTTTCTATAAAGAGGGGAAAAAATAAACTCTCCAGAAAAATCCAGTAGAGTAAGACCTCACTTTCCAGCAACCTCACTGCCTGGAAGAGCCGTGAGCACAGTGTGTGAGCAGCCCAGACAGATGTCCCCAAGGCCAGGCACACGAGTTGGTGCACAGCCCTCCCTCAGCTCCCACACTGCACACACATTCCTAACAGCTCGTGGGACCCATCTGCCCGCCTGGAGAAACTCCGAGCAGGAGCTAATCAGAAAATGAGGGAGAGGGAAGCAGGGAAACACTGACTGGGCAGAAGCATCAAACAGTTAGAAATGGTGAGTGTCAGCAGGAGAAGGTGCAGAAGGGGAAAGCAGAGGGACTCAAAGGCATTAGTAGTCCGGGGCAAACAGTCCTACACACCTCAGCACCTCCTAAGGGCATCACTCTGTGACAGACCAGAACAGCAACTGACGTTCCTTCGGATGCCCTGGGTCACCATGAAAAGGTGCAGTGAGGTTCTGAGCCAGCCACCCGCTGGAGGACGGACAGGTGCATCAGGAAGACCACCATCCCAAGCGGTTAAGGCCAAAACCCAGGTCCAGGGGCTCCGGCCATCTGGACATTCCTCCAGGGACGATGCTGGATAAGTGAGATGCTGCTGTGTCACGGGTGCAGTGACACGGGGACAGGTCACCTTCTCCCAGGTGTGTTCAGCTCACTAAGACTCAATCCAGAATGGGAACTGAGAGACAGGGTCCCTTCCACCCTCCCTGCTTCCTTCTCTCAAATTCTCCAGGCCTGAGGGACTTGGTCCTTCCTTCCACAGACTGCAGACTGGCCGGCGTGCCCTCGGGTCATTCCTCCTTCTAGAGAATTTTTTGCCCCCTCAGGGGAACTTACCAGAACGGGGGCTGCCACTGGGAAAAGGCTCCCTTTGATGAGCCACTCCTCGTATAGGTGGTGAATAGCATCCAGGTACTCCTGTGGGCGATGGGGAACACAAGAACTGTCAGGAGCAGGGAGGGGGGCAAACCTCTCCCCTTGGGGGGCTCAGGCAGGTGAGGTGAAGGTCAGTGAACACAGGGATGTGGCCTGGACAAAGGAGCCTGCAACTGCCAACCTGACTCAGGTGGACCATGATGCACGCGGCCAGCCCCAGCGTCACAAGTCGGAAGCGTCCCTTGAGGGGCTTCCCTGGTGGTCTAGTGGTTAAGAATCTGCCTTGCAATGCAGGGGACTCCAGGTCGATCCCTGGTCAGGGCAAGATCCCACATGCCGCAGGGCAGCTAAGCCTGTGCACCACAACTATGAGCTCATGTGTCGCAACTACTGAAGCCCACGCTCTGGAGCCCACAGGCTGAAACTACTGAAACCCACGAGCCCTAGAACCATGTTCCGCAACAAGAGAAGCCACTGGAAGAAGAAGCCCACACACCACAACTTGACAGCAGCCCACACTCACTGCAATTAGAGACAGCCTGCTCGCAGCAACACAAGACCCAGAACAGCCAAAAACAATTAATTTTTAAAAAAAGAACAGTTATTTAAAAAGAAAAAATGGCCACCCACCATCCCTCCAGCACACTAGGCTCCACTGGTTTTTCAGACATACCTTCCCACCTGGCTGGTCTCATTTTCTGCCACTTCCCCATCAACAGGGCCATCATGACTTCATGGGGGCCTGGGAAGCCTCTGAACCCTCCATTTATCCATCCCACCGAGAGGACTGCAGCCCTCATTGGCTCAGAAGCCCCACTCGGATGCTCCCACACCAACAGGCAACTCGTAACCTATGAATCCTCGAAGCCATCAGGACCAACTTCAGCTGGCAGACAAGGTGAGACTCAAGGGAAAAGAGGCCCAGCCCTGCCTCAAAGGCAACCATGGCAGGACTGGGTGGCTGAAAGTGAAAGTGAAAACTACTCAGTCGTGTCCAGCTCTTTGTCTCACCATGGACTATGTCCATGGAATTCTCCAGGCCAGCATACTGGAGTGGGTAGCCTTTCCCAACCCAGGGATTGAACCAGTTCTCCCACAATGCAGGAGGATTCTTTACCAGCTGAGCCACAAGAAAAGCCCAAGAATACTGGAGTGGGTAGCCTATCCCTTCTCCGGCGGATCTTCCTGACCCAGGAACCGAAACGGGGTCTCCTACATTGCAGGCAGATTCTTTACCAATTGTGCTATGAGGGAAGCCCACACTGGTTGCCAACAAACACCTCTTCCTCCCAGCCCTTAGGCTCTCGGGTAAACTGCACCACTGCCTCTTTATCCACTAGCAGGTTCTCTCTTGGCAGCAACAGACATGTCTACATGCCTCGTCAAAACCGTAAGACAGTGTTCTGGATAATGACTTGGAAGGACTCCAGCCTTGTCATTTCTTCCAAACATCTGTGTCACCGCACAGAGCTGCCACGCCCTGGCTGGCACAGTCCAGCCCCACCGCGTTACACCCTCCCTCTATCACTCCTGTCTCCAGATTGCAAAGAAGCTGCTCAGACCAAGGCTCGGGACTTCATCGCTGGAATCTACCCTCCGGGTGCCCAGGCAGGTCTCTGGAGCTGGACTGGCTGTCTAGACCCCAGTCTAGCTCCCCCTGAGCTCAGACTCCCATATGATCCCAGGAAACGCTTGCCCAGCCTCTGTTCCCCTCCAGTGGCATTCACACAGGACATTCAGTTCAATATTAACTGAGTAACCCCTAGGTGCCAAGCCCTGAGACACATGCTAGGGATGCAGAAGGGGTAAAATCTAATCTGAAAAGGTTTGTAGCAACTTTGTAAGGGATGGGGAGCAAACACATAAACAGTTTCAGACTATCTGTCCTAAGGACTGTGACCATAATAAAGTACAGAGGCTGGGGAAACATAACAAAGGGAAGGTCAGGGAAGGCTTCCTGGAGGAGGTGATACCTGAGCTGAACCTGGAAGGCAAAAGACACTGTTATGCAAAGACATAAGTGTGTAAATCCATGGTAGGGGGCTTCCCTGGTGGCTCAGCTGATAAAGAATGTGCCTGCAATGCGGGAGACCTGGGTTTGTTGATCCCCTGGAAAAGGAAAACAGCTACCCACTCTAGTATTCTGGCCTGGAGAATTCCATGGACTGTATAGTCCATGGGGTTGTAAAGAGTCAGACACAACTGAGCCACTTTCACATGGTAGGGAGTAGAGAAAGAGAGTGTGTGTGTGTAACCACAACTAGTTCTTTACAGCCAGAGCATGAAAAGGCAGGGAGTGGAAGGGGATGAAGCCAATCACGCAGGCTCTGGATGGCACGCTACAAGTGAGGATTGTATCCTAGAGTGGCGAGGCCCTGAGGGGGTGGGGTTAGGAACTGCCCACGTGGTTTTCTGTGTTAGACGCCTCGCTGAGCAGCCGTACTGGGGCTGGATTTCTGGGGGATGTGAACAGTGAGGGACCAGGCCAGGAGAGCTGTCCAAGCCAGTTCAGACAGCTTGACTAGAGTTGACATGGCCCTGAGCCAGAACCTGGAAGGGCGAGGCACTGGGCAAATACCAGTGAGTTCCACCTCCTTGCCGGGCACAGTGCCAAGTCCTGGAGATCCAGAAGTGAGCAAGCGGGCACATCATAGTGAGGGTCTGGGGGTGAGAGGGCAAGGCAGGCCAACTTCAGGAGGTAGACCGGATAAGCCCTGGGGACACCCGGGCAGGAACTGGAGAAGGGACCGCTCTGAGCATGGGGGTGCCCACCACTGAGTCTGGGGCCACAAGAAGTGAAGTGGACTTGGACACGCACAGGGTCTCCAGCCTCAGAGGAAGTCAGAGTTCACCCTCCCACATGCTCAGTTCCTGTTTCTCTTCCTGCAACGAGGGCACGATGACCTCGCAGAGGGTGGGGCCAGGCGGGGATGGAGCTGCCCCTTTCCTGGGTTAGAGGGGCTCTCACCAATGGGATGACCTTCTCCTCTTCCCTGCATCTCATCTTCAGCCTCTGGTAACAGGTCTCAGGAGTGGTCCGGAGATAAACTGAGATTTAAAAAGATATATACATGTGGTTTTCACTGCTCCATTCAAAGCTTGGAAGTGAAAGTGAAGGGTGGGAGAAAGGCAGGCACAGGGGCAGGGCGTGCAGAGAAGCTTCTGCCCGCAGCGCTGAGCAGGGGACGCAGAGCAGCTGTGAGGCCAGATATCTGACCCTCGTGGCAACTTCCGCTGTCTTCCTGTGTCACGAGCTCCGCAGGGTCACTGAAAGGCTGAATGAAGTCCCATATGTAGACAAGAGCTTAGCACAGAGCCTGGCACCCGACTGGTCTCAGTAACTGTTCAGGTTCCGTCCCTCCTCCCTCTCTCACAAACGAAGAAAAACCCATCACATCACAGCAGACCCAGGGGAAAACAGTTTGAGAAACACAGGCTTCTCCAGGAAGAACCAGAAGCCCGGTTCTGAGTGCCCTTGGGGAGAAGGCTGAGTTGACACAGGAAAAGAATCACCTCTGGAGAGGGCCCCAGCCACCACCCCTGCTGGTTGGGGACCCAGCCAAGCGTATCCTCGATGGGCCCAGGGGAGGGAGGCTGCGGAGGGGCCATCTCACCTATCAAGTCAACGGATACGTCGATGTTCCTCACAATCCAGTCAAACCATTCCGACAGGACCGCGTAGTCCACTTCGGGCATTTTCCCGCTGTAACGAGAGGCGTGAGGGTTTTATTCTCCTACGATAGCGCTCCTGGGCTGCGTCACTCCCCCCAAAGCGTCCGGGCATGGCTCCTGCTGCGAGGGCACTGCTGGGGCACCAAAGCGGAGTGTGATCACAGGACACTGGGCGGGCAGAGAAAACAGGGACCCTAAACACCTCCAACCCCCCACTCCCTGGGACGGTTCATGGTACCAGGTAGGCCAGTTAGTTTGTTTCCATAACACCTCATGGAAAAACCCAAACAAACTTGCTGGTCAACTCAATAAAACGCAGCAAGTGTCATGGCACTGCCTGAGGGGAGAAATGCAGGATTTGAACTCTAAGCCAAGGAAGGGGCTATAAAGCCTGTCCCCAAAACACAGGGACAGTGACCAGGCTGGGAGGTGGAGTAGCAAACCCGTCTCACCGTCAGAAGTTTATTTTATGGAAATAATAATGGATGCCCACTGCAGCATTCTTTTAAAAATAATGAAAAACTAAACCATGGTACATCTATGAAACAGAAAAACCATGCAGTCACTGAAAGATGATGCTATAAAATAATACTCAATGACATGGAAAACGCTTATAAAACGCAAAGTGCTCATCATTCAGTGAAAACAGCAGGATATAAAACTGTTTATATGGCATGGCCCAATCATATTGTCAAGAGTATTCATCCACACATTCTGAAAGACTGGAAAGAAAACCACCAAAACATTAACACAGCTTTTCTTTGAACAGTAGGACTACTGGAAATGTTTATCCCCTTCTGTATTTTCTAAAACTTAACAGCATACTAGCTCTCAAATCAGGGAACAGAATAGGGGTAAGAATTACTACATATATAATGTGATAACTGGAAAAGAAAGAAAAGAAGGGGACTTTCCAGGCGGTCCAGTGGTTAAGACTCCGTGCTTCCAATGCAGGGGGCGTGGGTTTGATCCCTGGTCAGGAAACTAAGATCCCACATGCCACACTATTCAGCCAAAAAAATTAAAAAATCATAGTCATAATTGAAAAAATAAAATGCCATGCTAAGAAAGAATGCCTGAGAGACAGACAGACCCAGCGTCTGTCCTCTGCCCTGGTGGAAATGAGCATGGAAGAGGTGGAGGTAGGGGCAGCAACTGGAGGAAACAGACCAAGAGAGGAATTCGGCCTTTAAACATCTTCCACCAGTCTTGAATATCATCTTGGATGGACCCAGAACTGGGGATGACAAGGCCAACTACGGGGGAGTAGAGGCGGCTGAGCTGTGTGTAGCTGGCGGAGCTTCTGACTGTTGACTAAAGAAGGGGAGGTGGGAGAAGAGCCTGGGAGAGAGGGTGGTCTGCAGCAGCCTGCCCCACTCCCCACCCCCTGCCCCACTGCCAGGTGCTGAGAACTGGCTCCCACCTGGGGCAGGGGGCAGGTGGGTATGGAGAGAGGCGCTCTGGAGATGACAGGCTCGAGCAGCCCTGCCCGGGGCCCGAGTGACAGAGCACAGCAGAGACTGGAGGGGGACTCCTCCTCCAGTCCTGGGGTCCAGCCAGTGCCCTCAGGGTGAAAGAGCTGTGCCTGGCCAAGCAGCAGTGGGCGGGAGGCCTGGGTTTGGGCTGGGAAGATCCCCTGGAGGAGGGCATGGCAACCCAATCCAGTATTCTTGCCTGGAGAATCCCCATGGACAGAGGAGTCTGGTGGACTACAGTCCATGGGGATGCAAATTCGGAGACAACACGGTGACTAAGCACAGCACAGCGCAGAGCAGACGTGTGAGGACCCCCACCCTGAATGAGTAGGGGAGGCTTTGAAGGGGAAGGGAGAGGGAGGAAGTCCTGGGATATTGCAGAGGGGACTAAAATCCAGGTAGTAAAGGTACCAACTTTAAGATCACAGGCTCTCTTCCAAGACTGCCAGGCTAGTATGGTTGTCCATCCCCCAATTATTTTTTCCTGTCTCCTTAAAAGTAGCCCATGATCTATTCAGGGTCCATCCCACAGGCCTGAGTGTTTACCTTCAGGGCAGACCAACTGGTCTCAGAGACATGCTCTCCCCTGGCCAAGGTGAGCTGATGGATGTAGGTCACAGGGGCCCAACCTGAGCAGTGAGACAGGAGGGTTTGCTGGGGTTTATGGTAACCAGGCTTCCTCACTCTTAGAGGAAAGCACTGGCAAGATACCCACCCTGTAGCCAGCAGATGAGAAGCCCAGTTCTGCCACAGCCATTTTGTCACCAAGAGGGAATCATATCTTGAGGACACAAACAAGATATAGAGTGCTGAAACACAGAGAAACAGCACTTTGTTGTTATTGTTCAGTCATTAACTTGTGCCTGAATCTTCGTGACCCTATGAACTGCAGCAGGCCAGGCTCCTCTGTCCTATACTATCTCCTGGAGTTTGCTCAAATTCATGTCCATCGAGTCAGTGATACTATCTAACCATCTCATCCTTTGCTGCCCCCTTCTCCTTCTGCCCTCAGTCTTTCCCAGCGTCAGGGTCTTTTCCAATGAGTGAGCTCTTTGCAACAGGTGGCCAAAGTATTGGAGATCCAGCTTTAGCATCCATGCTTCCAATAGAAACAGCATGAGGGCCACTGAATAAAACCGGCCCCCAAGTCTAATGTTAAGACAGCCAGTAACAACCTCAACGTTCACGTTACTCTGAGCTGGGCTGCAGTTAGCTGCAGCTGAGAGTATTTGATATTCAAAACACCACACCCCTCTTCTTGACATGTTTTCCTTCTCAGGAGCAAAGCTGACTCCAAGCACATGAGGATTTGCAAAAAGGAAGCTGCTGATCAGCCCCACCCCCTCCAGCAAACACACGGCCTGGGGGACACAGCACAGACTGGCAACTCAAGGGTGGAGGCAGTGAGCAGCGCGGAGGGAAGGCTGCCCCACAATCTCCCACATCACTGACACTGGACGGTCTGGGGTCAGACTGCCCCAAGGACTTCACCACTGTCTGCGAGGCTCTGTCAAATCCCACAGCTGGGAGGATCCCCTCAGCTGTGACCACCAAACTGAGTCACAATTCAGGACACATGTAGCACAGTCCTAACTAAAACCAAACTGATCAACAGCACAAAAGGGTCACGTGTGCAGGGAGACACACGGAGATATGGGGATGGGGTTCATTCCTGAGGGGGCTCTGGGGCCTGAGAGCTGCTGCCCCAGGGGGTCTCAGGACACCTCCTGGGTGGCCCAGGCGAACCCAGGCTGAGGGCAGACAAAGCAAGCAGGCCTTCCTTTCCCGAAGCTCTCCTTGGAGGTCCTCCGTGCAGATGGCTCCAGGGAAGCCTCCCGAAACCTCTTCCAAGATTGCCAGGAGCCATGTGCTGAGGGCTCCAGGACCACTGGCTGCTGGCTGAGCTGAGTGAGGAAATGGGAGCTGGCTCCCGTGATTCTGGGGGATTTCAGTCAGCAGGCACTGTTTTACCTCCATCTAGTTTTCCTCCTGGGAGTCTGCCCAGCTCCTCCTGTGTCTGCCTCAGGAATGGGGTGCCCTGAACCACTCCCAAGGCACTGCTCTTATTTCCACAGAACACACGGAGGGGGGAAGCCTCTCTGCAGACCCACCACTGGTGAGCTGAAGCGGTTTCACCATGCCGTCCCCTGATCCCAAGGAGTAAAATTGAGGTCCTGGGTCCACAAGAATCCTGCTGACTGGTCTGTTTGGCAGTTCGCTGCCACCTTCCCCCTGAGGTCCAGAGAGCCCCCAGGTTGCACAGCACAGGTTAAAACAAAAATCACAGACTCAAAGGCCAACCTCCTGTACACATTACTCTCTTTACAAGACCTTGTGCGGTCAATGTCAGCCCCAATTTATAGATGAGGAAAACTGAGGCCCAGAGAAGACTGGCCTAACTCTGTCTGAGAAAGCCTGGCTCACCATGTCCCCCAAACCCATATGTCCCCAGCTGCATCACTTGCTCCCGCCTCCCGTGTCCCAGGGCACGTCCAGCGTCTCTCTGGCCCCTGCCTGAGGAAAGTCGGAGCCCTCAGGCCTGTGACCCAGGCGGTGAGTGCCCGCTCGGGCTGAGTCCAAGTCCAGGGCCCACTGGGGTGGTAGGAGGACCTGCCTGCTACTCCAAACGCAGGGCCTCAGTGGGTGCCCCTGGCCCCAGCCCCAGGTGAGTCAGCGTGCCATTTCCCCAGCTGGGCCCCACTCAGTCCCCCTCCTTCTAATCTTGGAAACCGCCAACCAGGCACTCCTGTAAAACCTGTGTGCTCACTGACTCCGCCCACAGGGCGGGGGCACACAGTGGCCTGCATGGCACCTTGACTGCCGAGTCTTTCTCTCCACCTTAAGCTGTTCATTCCAGCAGTTGCCCACACCTCAGGTGCCAGCTCTGTGCTGGGTCCCAGCTAGGCCAGCGGACCAGACATGCTGCTCGTCCTCAAGGAGCTTACGGTCCAGTTGGTGGGGCACATGATAGACAAGAAGTACATGTATACTAAGCTAAGCTGCATGAAACTGCCATTTTTATAGGTCACAATTGGTCAAGTTTTAACAATTTCATATGGTTCAACCTAAGTAGAAGTTGTCTTAAATACTATGAAGGAAACCAATACAAAGAAGTGATTTTCCCTGGTGGTCCAGTGGCTAAGACTCCATGCTCCCAATGCGGGGGGCCTGGGTTCAATCCTTGGTCAGGGAACCAGATCCCATATGCTGCAACTAAGAGTTTGCATGCTGCAACTAAAGATTCTGCTGCACTGTCTGCATGCTGCAACTAAAGATTCCACATGCCATCAAATTAATTAATTAAATTAAAAAAAAAAAAAGAGTAACAGGCTCAACCCATCTAGACAAGGGAGTTGGGGAGGGTCGGGAGAGGCAACGTGTAGGACCACAGTTGTAGATGGGAGAACCAGGGAACTGGGGCATACAGAGAGGAAGCAAGATACTGGGACCAGCTCTGAGAGGGATGAAGTTCAAGGTGGGAGGAGGCAGTGATGTCGGGGAGATGGCAAGGAGAGGGGAGCAGGCACACAGCTACCAAGGAGGAAGGGAGGGGGAAAAAGCTGAAACTTCAGACCCCAGCCTGCAGCCCATTTCCCCCAAGACCCCCAAATATCAGCAAACAACTGAGCACAGGCGCCGAGGGCCCCACACCTCTGAGGCTGCAGCACTGCGGGCACCCAGCCACGTCTGTGTGAGGGAGTCTGCTCCCGTGAGGACAGAAGACATCTTCGAGTGAAATCGCAACAAGTACCATGCACCACCATGACGGCTCTAGTCGCTCTGACTCTTCACCCCACTGTGTCTTGTCCTGCTGTGCCACGTAACCCACAAGGGCCCTGCCCCCTCTCAGACTGGGGTCAGCTGCTGTGACCTGCTTTGGCCAGTGGAGGTCAGCCAACATGAAGCAGACACCTGAGAAAAGACTAGCGCTTCTGCCCTCTGGCCATCACCATGGGAAGTGAATGCCCAGGCCAGCTCACTGGTCCCAGGAGAGGGACAGCAAGCAGACGAGAGATGAGTCACCCCAGTCACCTTCCCCGGGCCACCCCAGATCTGCTAACCCCTGGATGTGTCATCAAGCCCAGCCAAGGTCAGCAGAGCTGCCAGGCTGCCCAGCCTGGACGGTCGAGCCATCAGTGTGGTTGGTGGCTATACCATGTATCTGTCAATCAGTAAACGAGTTCCATTTCTAAAAACTTAATGGTTGAATAAATTATCGATTATGCAAACTACGATACCTTCTGTATAAGTTTTCTACAAAAACATATCTTGCACTGTGAATTGACCGCTCCATCAACCGTACAGGCAACGTCTAAAAGAAAACAAAATGTTATTTACTAAACTCGGGCAGGAAGGAAGGTCAGGAAGCCTGGAAGAATGACTGTTGCTCCCCTGCCCCTGGCCTATGCTGAACACAGAACTGAGACGCCACCAAGGATGGGTGGGGGGGACACCAAAGAACCGTGTGTTCAGCCTCCTTGGCCCTGGACCCTCCCTACGCCCTGAGGCTCGGTGGTCAGTGCAGCAAGGCAGGGCAGAGAGCCTGTCAGCTGCAGCCTCTTTCATGGGAGGGGTGAGGCTCCACTGGACTGTGGGTTTGGGGAGTGCTAGAAAAACTGCCAAATGCCGCCCAGGAAAGTGGTGGCAAGCGAGAAGTGTGGTGACTATTAATGACCCAGCAGGTGCATCCACTGAAGCAGAGGCAGAGCTTTGAGAGGACAGGGTGTGGGTTTCTGCAGCCCCAGCAGCAGGCTGGCCAACATCTGCCTCCACTCAGGGCTGGTGGGGATCCCGCAGTCCTTCACAACTGTAAAGGATCATGCCCTACAGCAGGGGGAGGAAAACACTGATGGCGCCACTCTCCACCAGCAGGCTCACACCCACCACGGAGGCCTTCCCACAGTGTCCCACTGGGAAGTGAGAGGTGCCCTGACTCGGACACTTCAGTGGGCAAACACTGCTCTCACTCACCTGCTCATGGCACCCACTGGGACCTGGACCCACAAATCAGAGGCCAATTCAAAGCCACAACCTGATTCAAAGCCATGTCCTCTCTCTCCTATCTGTCCATCCGTCTTCCTTTCTATTCTTCCATCCTCTCCTTCCTTTCAACTCTCTCCTGCCCATCTTTTGTAGCTCCCCATTTATCCCTCTTTTATTCTCTTTCCTAGTCTGTCCATCTCTCATCTCTCTGCCTCCTTCCTGATACATTTCATTAAACAGAGGAACACACATATGGCCCATTATATTTAGATATACTAGACACAATTTCTGTTTGCAACTGAGTGCCCATTCAGGAAAAAGTAGGGTGACTGCCAACCTCAGATCCTCTGACATGTAACTTTCAGACAGATCTTTGGGCTTCCCCTGTGGCTCAGCTGGTAAAGAATCCGCCTGCAATGCGGGAGACCTGAGTTTGATCCCTGGGTTGGGAAGATCCCCTGGAGAAGGGAAAGCTACCCACTCCAGTATTCTGGCCTGGATAATTCCATGGACTGTAGAGTCCACGGGGTCTCAAAGAGTCAGACATGACTAAGCGACTTTCGCTCACTCACTCAGGGAGAGAGAAATTCAAATAGTTCTGCTTGTATCTTTTTTCGTTTTAAAAAACACACAGATTTGTAGAAGGATGAGAGCTATGGCTGCAAGTGCCCAGCCCTGCATCAAACCGCAGGCCGAGTGGCTGTGTCAGAGACACCGGTGGATGGATGTCCCATGGCATGGATGTCCCATCTCCTGTAAGGAGAGCCTCCAGAGCCAGTCTCTCAGGCTGGGCTGCCACTCTGAACCACAGGTGCCAATCTGGACCTCCTCAGAGACTCTGCCCCTATTCACACTCCCCGGCTGATGAAAGGGGCTGAAGCAGCCATCTTTGTGCCCAGGTGATCTGCCCCAATACCTGATTGGCCCAGGGCTGGACACCTGACCCAAGCTGAGCCAATCAGGTTCTTTCTCTCAAGAATCTGAACCAAGAACGTTAACAGGCCTTGTGAAGGTTAGGTCCGCGGTTCTCCTGCAAACAAACACGGCGTGCATTAAAATCACCTGGAGGGTGTGACAAAACCCAGATTGCTAGCCTCATCTCCAGAATTTCTGATTCAGCAGGTCCAGGATGGGGTCAGAAAATGTGCATTTCTAACAAGTCTCCAGGTGCTGCTGCAGCTCCTAGTCTGGGGACGACACTTTTGAGAACTGAGTTAAAGGGCATTGAGCCCAGGAGCCGGCAGGTCATGAAGACTTGAGCTCACGGGGCATCATAGCAAGTTCTTGGCTAGCTGAGGGTGGGGCTAGGGGCCCTGAAGCCTGGTCCTCAAAGAGCAGCGGGACCAGACACCTGGACTCGAGAGACAGAGAAGACTGAGCAGCTCCTTGTAAGGTTTCCCTTCCTGGCGACCAAATGCCCCTCATTTGAAGAAAATTGAAACCAAGCATCTGAGCTGTACCTGCGGACAAGTGTGCTGGTCGAGCATGGTGAGCTGCACGTACGTCTGCAGCGTGAGGCCCCATCGACAGGCATCCTGGTACATCAGACCCTGCGGGGTGGTGGGGGGTAGGGAGAGAACGCGGTGCTGTATCTGCAGGACTCCCTGACTGTGGACCCAGACCCCACCCATCCCTTTCCAGCAGCCAGAGCTGAGCCTTCTGACTGGGAAGGAGGTGGAAGGGAGCACAGGCACATTACAGCCCCTGCTTGCTGGGTCCATCCTTGGCAAAGTGCACAGGGTAGCTTCAGAGGGAGCGTGCGGCAGCCTGGGGCATAGCCAAGTGCAAACCCCAATTGGAGGTTTACCAAAGAAGCTGGTTACCAAGGAGACCTGGGTTTCTTCTAGGAGAGGGTTGGGGTAGAATGAGCAGCTGGAGACTACTCCCCCACCCCCACCCCACATAGCCGGTGCAGAGCACTTGCGATGGTTTGGGATAGCTGACAGGAGGGCTCTGGGCTCCTTACATGCCCAGCCAGGCCTCAGAGAACCTTGACCTCAGAACATCAACCTGCCACCATTTTTCTGCTGTCCCTTTGCCTGGTGCAGAGCAAGGACACACCTGGACGGGGGACGAGCTCGTGCACTAGCACTGCCGTTCCTGTACACTTGAGAAGCTGGTGGTTCACACAGCCAACAGCACACTCACCAGAGGATTATGGCCTCGGACATTTCTCCACTTGGGTACAGGCTCTGTTAACACCTGCCAGGAGAGAAAACGTCAGAGAGCTGCTGCTCCTCAGTTCTGAGCTCCGTGAAGGCGGACGAGTGTTAGGGGTGGGATGGGGAGAGAGTCAAGACCTGGGCACCCAGGTTGGGCTAAAATAGGGGAGCAACCCTCCCTTCAAGGTCAGAGCTCCATCTAGACACAGCTCCTGGTGTGACTTCCAGAAAGGATCTAAGACCCACCCTGTCCACCCCTGTATACAAGTATATGCACACATCCCCTCCTCTGCGGCCATGGGGCCCCCTCGGGGGCAAGGGGAGTTCTCCCAATCACCGCTCCTGTTTTCCATCCTGCACCTTACTGCCCACCACGGAGGGCAGGCAGGGAGGTGAGAGAAACCAGGAGGGAGGCTGCTTCGTGCATTGAGCCCAGCTTCTGGTTTGGGGCCTCTCCCGTGACCCTGGCAGTGAGCTCTGCCTCCATTTCCTCTCTCTGATCTCTGCACCAGACACACCGATGGGCAACGGATCCTGTTTCTTTTAGTAGCTTCCCTAAACTGTGCAGGTGAGTTCTGGGAACGATTTAAATGGTGTTCTTGGAGCAAAGACTTTGAGAATATCTGGGAATATCTGGGGATATCTGGGGATCTTCAAGTGCACGTGAGCAGGTGCCACAGGTCACAAGAGATCAAAGGAAAGCAATGCATGGGACCCTTGAGGAGGAACCTCCCCCCACCCTTTCCCTTTTGTGCCTTTGCTCATGCTGTTGTTCTGCCCAGTATGCCCACCGCAACTTATTTCACCTCAACTTTCATTACATGGAAAACTCATACATATCCTTCAAAAGCCACTTCAAATATCCCTTCCTCTGTGACTCATTCCCAGCCACCTCCCAACCTTCCTCTCCTTCTTCTGGGTCTTCATTCCACTCCTATCCTGTGAGGAGCAAATGCTGCACCACTCAGGCTCACCAGAGGCTGAGACAGAGGCAGCCTTGACTGGCGCCCCATCTGTGGCACAGTCACTCAACACACATTGAGCATCTGCTGTGTCAAGTACCACACGAGGTACCAAGGATGCAGCAAAACACCCCAGCCCTGCCTTCACACAGCTTTAAACTGGCTAGGGGAGCAAACATTAATCAGATCATCACAGAAAGTTAGCACGTATTTTCAAACCCTGAGAAGTAGTATAAAATAAGGATACAGAGGGGCCAGAAGAACCCACACAAGGGAGGGTAACCTAGCTGGGGAGGTCAGAGAACAGAGCTGAGAGCTGAAGAGTGGTTTTCCTAAAGCCAAAACATTTTTGTATGCTGTGGAGCCAAATGAGGGCACAGGCCCTTGAGCAGACAGCCTAGGCTGGGACACAGCACCACAGGCACTAGCCATGCGACTCTGGCCAAGCCATGTGACCTCACTGAGCCTCAGCTTCCTCCTTTGCAACTGAAGCAATAGTAGGACCTGCATCACAGGGACTACTATTGTAAGGATGCAATCAATTAGATCATGCAATCATTAGCCTCAACACAGTGCCTGGCATAGAGTACCACCCTCATAAGCTGTTAACCCTCACTGCTGATGCTGGTGGTGGTGGTGTTCATTGGCTCCAAGGTCTTCAGTGAGAATATAAGTGCTTCTAAAGCCAGGGGGCAGGAGGGAGAAATTTCCCTGGTCCAGTGGTTAAGACTCTGCACTTCCACTACAGAGGCAGGGGTTCGATCCCTGGTCAGGGAATTAAGTTGCCGCATGCCACTCAGCTGGGCTGAAAAATAGAGTGCCAGTGAGAGTTACATTGCTCAGGACAGGTGGGTCAGGAGGCCCCCAGAGCCCCACCTCCCTGGGTCTGAGGATTCACGAGGAGGACTCATAGGATCCAGCATATAGTCATACTCACAGCTAACTACAGTGGGAGGTTACAAAGTATAATCAGCCAAGGAAAAAGGTATATGGAGCAAAGTCTGGGGGAAACCAGGCCCAAGCTTTCAAGGGGCCCCTCCCTCCTCTCACGGGATATTCTCAATTCCCCCAGCAGCATTTCTGCTGGGTAGGGCTGGTCTGCACCCTTTACAAATCTACCAAGCTTTTGTAGGTTCCTTCAAACCTAGTGTGGAATCCGTACCTCGATGTCTGTTGAGTTGGAGAAGAACTCCAGGCATGTTGTCTTTCCACTGGCAATATTGCCCTCAACACAGATCTAGCAAAAGACAAATGCACATTAGGACCAGAAAGTGAGTGCCTGGGGGAGTATCAGGACGAATTTCTAGGGAAGCGCTCAGCCGAACAGCATAACTTGTTCAGTCTAAGACCTCAGTGTGTACACAAAACCTCCACAGGAAACCCCGAGGTCCGGTTATTAGCAATTAACAACTCGATTCTTTCCACCAGTGGCAGGCTCCAGACCCACCAGACCACCACCCTCCAGGACAGATGCTCCCTTATGTCAACTCCCAGACCCCACAACTTGTCCTCAGCCACCCTAGATCTGCCCTTCCCGAGCTCAGTCCCTCAGACTATTAGATTTTAGGCCAAATGGAATATTACTGAGCCATTAAAAAAAGAATGAAATTGGGTCATTTGTAGTGATATGGACGGACCTAGAGTCTAACATACACGTTAAGTAAGTCAGAGAGAGAAAAACAAATGTCATATATTAATGCATATGTATGTGCTCTAGAAAGATGATACAGATGGGTCTGTTTGCAGGGCAGAAAGAGATGCAGACGTACAGAACAAACGTGTGGACACGGGATGGGGAAGGTATGGGTGAGATGAACTGAGAGAGTGGTACTGACATATAAACACTACCGTGTGTAAAACAGACAGCTAGTAGGAAGCTGCTGAATAGCACAGGGAGTTCAGTTTGATGCTCCGTGATGACCTAGAGGGGTGGGATTGGGAGTCTTGCATCTGCTCACTGAAGGCTTTCCATGGGCCAGGCACTGTGGACTCAGGAGCCAGTCCCAGCTCCCACTGAGCTCATAGGTGTGAAGATGGGGAGGAAAGTAAAAGGGAATTACAAGAAAAGATGTTCACGGTGCCACGGGAGCACAAGGCCAGCCAGCATCGCTGCTCTGGAGAATGTGCCAAAGTTTACCTCCCCCTTCCTCTGCTGTTAGGCCTTCATTCCAACTTCCCATGATTGTAACTGATGCTGTGATGAGCCATCTATCCTTCTTTTTTTCTTTTTTTTTTTTTGGGGGGGGGGTGGGTGGGGGTGTTGTACAGCTTCTGAGATGTTAGCTCCCCGACCAGGGGTTAAACCCATGCCTCCTGCATGGGTTGGAAGCACAGAGTTTTAACCACTGGACCACCAGGGGATTCCCTATCCTTATTTTTAAATAATAACATTTCATCTTTTCTGAAAACAGATTTTAAGCATTCTCACAGTAAGAAATACAGGGAACTGACAAAAAAAAAAATCACTCCTAATTCCAGAGATAACCATAATTTAAATGTTTAATCAGAATCAAACTTTTCAGAGGCAAACAAGTTTGAGCCCCAAAGCCCCCACTGGAAGAATCAAAATATATATTATCCTGTTAAAACCCTGAGAAATCTGCCATAAAAAGGAAACTTGCCCAAATGTCCAACCAAGCGGGATCCATGCACATGAGAGAGCACTATCACCATTCAGCAATGAAGTGCTGATAAACGCAATAATGTGTATGCACCTCAAAACATTATGAAAAATGAAAACAGCTAGTCACAAAGACCAAATGCTGTATGATTCCATTTTATAGGAAATGTCCTGAAAAGGCAAATCCTCAGAGACAGGAAGCAGAGTAGTGGTTTCCTGGCTCTGGGGGAGTGACTAAATGGGCACTAAACTAAATGGGTTTCTTTTCTGAGTGATAAAAATGTTCTAAAATTAGACTGTGATGTTGCACAACTCCATAAATTTACAAAGAAATCATTAAGCTGTAAACTTAAAACAAGTCAATTTGGGGGTATGTACCTAACTAATAACTTAATAAAGTCATTCTTTAAAAAAAAAAGAAAGGAAAGCAGTTTAATTTTAATCTAACAGTCAAAAAATTAAGACTTTCCACTCTTACCCCTCAAATTCTCTCTCCCTCTTCCTCATACATACCCACTGTTATGACTTCCCAACTTTCCTTTAACCAGACTAACAATCTCTTTCCTACTTTCCCCCCATGGACAGTTTATATATTGTTTTATTTGGATCATACTTTATATATTTTTATCCTCTTCTTTTTCATCTCTTACAAAGTACTTTCCTAGGTCGTTAAGTATTTTCAAAAACATGATTCTGAATGGCTGAATAATATTTCATCACATAAGATATACCATGAATTATTGAAATCCCTACTGTTGAATGTTACATTCTCTTCAATTACTTTTATTATAAAATTGTGTTGTGATATTTTTGATACAATAAACTGTGCTGTAGTGAGCCTTCTTGTATGTAAATCCTTGTCACTGGCTCCAATTACTACCCTTCAATAGACTTTTAGGAGTATAATCAATGCATCCAAGGATACGTGAGTTTTTATGACTGTTGATGATGATGCCAAATTACCCTCTAAAATGCTGTCCCAATTCACACTCTTTTCTAAATGAAAAAGATGGATGGAAGAGCATGTGCCTTTTACCATACTGTGCCAATACTGGGCATATCCCATCCTAAATCTTCATTCGTTATGAATAATAATAATGTCTGTCGCTAGGCATTCAGTGTTAGCCCCTGTGGGTTCTGTACTTTGCCAACATTGTCACATGATCCCTGAAACAATCACAGCTAAGAATTATTTGCATAGATGGGGAAACTCAGGCTCTAAGAGGTTAAGGACTTGCCTACCTCTACTAAAGAGCACAACTGGGGTTTGAACCACGTTGTCTGATCCACGGTTTCCTTACTCCATTTCCAAAAGCATTTTTTCTCTGTTAGGGAGGTGGAGCACTTTCTTCTGTTTATTAGCTTTTAACAAATTCCCTCAGGAAAAGTCCGTTCATATTCTGTTCAATTGAAAACATTAGTCACTTCTTTTTAACCCAACTTTGGAATTTATTTTGCAATTCTGGGCAGTGACTCACTCTCGAGCTGTAGCTCAGCCCAGATATTCCCTGTCCAGTTCAATTCCATGGGATGTTTCATGGGCACCTCAATTCATCACGCCCCCAGTACCCATTTATGGCTTCTGTTTCCATCCCTGTCTTCAGGAAAGGCTACACCATCTACCCAGACATTCAGGGCCTTCTCTCCTCACCCATCAACTCACAACACCTCTCCAGCCCTCCCTGTGGGAGCAGCCCTCCTACTGGCCTTTATGCCTCCAGTCCAGCCCGGCCAGGGCCCCTATTCCCTATCTATAGTCCACCACCTCTTCCTGAAAGGTAAAGCAGATCACATCCGGTAAAGTCTTTCAGTGGCTGCGGGTGCTGGGATCTTCCTCCAGTCCCTGTGCCTGACCAAAGGCTCTCCCCAGCCACCTCTCTGGGACGACCACAAGCCTCAGGCTCTCATCCCTCTGTGACTTGCCCCTGCAGTTCTCGCTGCTCCAACACTCCTGCCTTGCCTTGTCCTCCTTTTCCCAGGAGGCCTCAAGACTCCCCAGGGCTCCCCTCAGTCATCATCCCCAAGAAGCTCTGCCCCTACTCCCTGCGGCTCTAGATCTACCATTGTCCTATTCACGCTGTCTCCCCCATCAGACCACAGGCTCACTAACAACAAAGACTGCTGGAGTCCCAGGTCCACACAGGAACTCAGAGGATTTGTATAACTAAGAGCAGCTCTGGACCACACTGCAAGCTCCACACCACTTCCTATGGACCACCTACTGTGTGTCTGGGGGATACCAGACCACACCCAGAAAGCACCAACGACAGGCCTGGCTCACAAAAATGCTAGCTCAATAATTAACAGCACAACAATGCATCAATACCCACCTGACTCAACTTACCAACCCCTCCCCCAGCTGTGGTACCTGTCGCCATACCCTACCCCATGTGTAGTTTCAACAAACTTCCATAAATTTCAAGCATTTTCATCACCAGTCCTCTCCATGTGACTGCTCTCCTTCCCAGGCCCTCTCCATCACCCCAAATACCCCCAGGGGGCCTGCCCACACCTTCCACCCTCTACAGAACCCAGCCAAGGTACTCCTGCCCACACTCACCAAGTAACTCCCTCTCCAGCCATTAACTACAAACCTGCGGCTCCCTGAGCCTCTGGACCAATGGTGACCAAAATACTGCTCCACCACAGCCAGCTAAAGGCTTAAACATCCCATGGGCATGTCCAGTTTGACCCTCCTTTGACCTTCAACCTCACACCAGGCACAATTCCACCCCAGAGCTAGCATCTCGAAGTCACTGCACTGGCGGAACCCATGTCTGTGGACCCCCAGGAATTCTTTGTGACCTCCCACTCACCTACCTTTCTCAGCATTGGTGGTCTGGGGGCAGCAGTCAGAAGTCAGGCTGTCACCTACTAGCAGTCAAACTAACCTCCCACTTTACAAATCCTTTTGTAATCAGTCAGCGATTCAAGTTAATAGTCCAAATTCACCCAGAGGCTATGAATACATGTATTCTCCTACCCGTGCAGATTCTTAGCAAAGACACACCCGAAACTGGTAACAGAGGTGTTCTCTGAGGAGGGAGCCTGGGGCACAGGAGTGGACAGCTCTTTATCCCGGGAGATCCCCTTGAATTTGTTGTTGTTTTTATGTGCACGTATTCCTTCACTCTTCTCCTCAAAACATGTATAGTGTGTGTGTGTGTGTGTCTGTACTACACACATATAATCCTACACTGGAGAGAGTGCACATTAGAGAGACTTACCACTGATTTTTTCTCTTTTTCATTTTCTCTATCTTTATCTAGAAAAGAAAGAAACCAATTTTTAAACGCGATTTTAAATAGCTCACTCTTCGGGTCATTGTTATGCTTGCTCCCTGACCTACAAATGTTTTCCAGTAACACCTGGGACCCTCCCTCGGTGGAGGGAGGCAGACCCACCACTGCTGTCTATGCTTGGAAACTGAAATTGGCCGCCCGGATCCTGTTGGCATGTCTAGGCCACCAATGTGCTCAGCTTTGTTCACAGAGTATATAATTATGACCCTCACTGATGGGTGTCCAGCCACTTAAAACACAGTGGCCTCCACTCGAAGCTCCCGGGTAGGAGAGGTCGGTGGGCGTGGACTTCGGCACAGGACTCAAGTTTCTCCTGCAGGCCCCGGGGCTGACATTGCGGCCCACCCAGCCCTCGGCGGGTTCTGAGGTGCCACTGAACTCCAGAACTTGGCTACAACGAGGGCTCTCAATTCTGAAGGGCAGGGTCTCCAGTCCCAAGGGAAAAGGGAGGGCATTGAACCTAACCGATTTCCCCACGCCCCGCTTGCTGGCACCTCCCCCAAGGCCAAAAGAATGGACCCAGGAATGGCACCGGAAACCCTCGGGGAGGAGGTTCTTTCCACTCTTAAGAGGGTTCCGCAGCTCCGAAGAGGAGACGGGCTCAGAGCCCCAAGGCCCCACCCGCTACTGCCGGCCAGGGTCCGGGGCACCTACCACCGCCCCGCCCCTTCCCCAGGCCGCCCAAGGAAATCCCGGGGCCCGGAAGAAGGGGTTTCGGGTTCAAGCCGGTTCCGCGAGCCAAGGGCGGGGAGTGGGGCTGATGGCCGCATCCGGGATGCCTGCAAGGGAAACTGAGCGACGCGTTACCCCGAGGCCAGGCCCAACGCTGCGCCCCTCGCGACTCTGGGCAGGAAGCGGGGCTCCCGGGCCCATCGCGGCGCAGCGCCCGGAAAGCCCAGCTCCGCAGCGGCCGCAGCAGCACAGCCCGACCGCCGGATGCCACAGGCCCAGCCATTCTTCCTGCGCGGGCCTGCGCGTGCGCAGCCGCGGGACAGGGCCCGCCTCCGCGCGCCGCCCGCAGCCCCAGCCCGCCCCGCCCCGCCGACTCTTAAAGAGACCTCATCTCATTTCGCTATCTTCCCCAAGAAGGTAAGGGATTCGCCGTTTGCAGCCCGGAAATCTCCCTGCCAAACAGACGCTGGCAGAATGAACCCATGATTTGGCAAAATTCGGGGCTTGGGTGGCCAATAACACCAGCGACTGGTTTGTTAATTAACTATTGAAAGTGAAAGTCGCTCAGTCGTGTCCGACTCTTTGCCACCCCACGGACTACACAGTCCGTGGAATTCTCCAGGCCAGAATACTGAGTGGGTAGCTTTTCCCTTCTCTAGGGGATCTTCCCAACCCAGGAATCGAACCCAGGTCTCCAGCATTGCGGGCGTATTCTTAGCAGCTGAGCCACAAGGGAAGCCCTAATTAACTGTTGGAGGTTGCTTAATTGAGCATCTGTTGTATCCAGGAACCAGTGACAACTCACACGCTGTCATTTATTCTTCTCAACAAGCCTACAGATGGGTGCTGTCACTCCCATTCTCCCAGCCGAGCTGATCCTTGGAAACAGGTAACTTTTAAAAAGTAAACAGAAGCATTCATTAAGCGGTGGAGCTGAAATTCAAGCCCATCTATCTTGCTTCACAGCCAGCGCTTTTTTCTCTGAACTTTGACATTTCCAGGATCTGAACTCTAAATATGCTAGATCCTTCTGGAAGCTATTAAAAAACTAGACAACAGGACCCAAAGGACTCGCTTATGCTAAGCCCCACTCACCCACCAAGACTTAATTATAGTTTTGGCTCTCCAGTCAATCAGGCATCATCTGATCAGCACTAGTTAGATCTGTGGTCCCCATCCTTTTTTGGCACCTGGGGCCGGTTTTGTGGAAGACCTCCCCTGGGGAGGAGACGGTTTCAGGATAATTGAAGTGCATTACACTTATTGTGTAATAATATTGTGCACTTTATTTGGAGTATTATGACATCTGCTCCACCTCAGATCAGATCATCAGGCATTAGATCCCAGAGGCTGGGAACCTCTGAGTTAGGTAACCTGATAGACCCCCTGCCATCCCCTAGGAAAGTAATCTTGCAATAACCAATTTCCTTGTTCCTGCTCCCTTCTGCCTTTAAAAGTCTTTCATTTTGTACACCTCTTCAGTGCTCCTTTCTGTTGGACTGGATTGCCGACCTATTTGAATCATTTTTTTTTTTTGGTTCAAATAAAATCTTGAAAATTTTAATATGCCTCAGTTTATCTTTTATCAAATGTACAAGCAATATGTGGTCGTCTGGGGGTGGGGAGAAGCTGGCCTTCGTAGCTCCCCTGTAGGTTAGCGGAAACGCAGACTCCGCAGAGCGGGAGCCTGTGGCAGGGAGTGGGCGACCTGGCGTGCACCCAAGTGCGGCTGCAGTGACCAGCGCATGCACGCGCCAGGGCGGGAAGCCTAGAAGCGCTGCACGTGGCCGGGGTGGCCGTTGCAGACTTGGCACAGGGCCTGGCAGAGAGGTGCGCTGAATAGGGGGACCGGCGGGAAAGTGCTGCTGCTGGGTCTGCAGGGGCGATGCAGACCCTGAAACCGAAGTCTCGTCCCTTCTGCTTCAGCGTGAAAGGCCACGTGAAGCTGATACGATTGGTGAGGGCGGGGCCGGGGGACTGGGGGGCGGAGTCCCCACGCACTCCCCTGCTAGGAGATAAAGCTGCCAAGTACGAAGCTTATGCTCCTTTGTCCCCTTCTCTCTTTCAACTTTGTTTCTATCAAGGCCTTCTTAAAGGGAAGGCATTTCGCCCTACACCCTGGGGGTGGAAGGAGAGAGAGCAACTGTCGTCTTCATCAGGGGCTTTCTGTACCCAGTAGTAGCCAAGAGTTAGTCGCTCAGTCGTGTCCCACTCTTTGAGACCCCATTGACTGTAGCCCGCCAGGCTCCTCGGCCCATGGGATTCTCCAGGCAAGCATACTGGAGTGGGTTGCCATGACCTTCTCCAGAGGATCTTTCCTGGTAGCTCAGACGGTAAAGAATCTGCCTACAATGCAGGAGACCCGGGTTCGATCCCTGGGTCGGGAAGATCCCCTGGAGAAGGGCATGACTACCCACTCCAGTATGCTTGCCTGGAGAATCCCATGGACAGAGGAGTGTGGCAAGCTACAATCCATGGGGTCTCAAAGAGTCGGACACAACTAAGCGACTGGCACTTTACAGACCCACTCACAAAACAAGTTCTGCAAACCTGCATGAATGGCCTACACTTGGACCCCCAAACCAGTTATCCAGGTTACCATGCGAGGCTGCTGCAGTTGTACCACTCAGACGCCAATGAGATTAAAACCAAAACCAAAAAAATGCACTGAGGGGTTTCGGAGGATGCTGTGTTTACTTACTATATAACTCACAAGTTTTGGGTTTTTTTTTTTTACCCAAGCTTTACTGAGATACTTCATATATGATAAAGCTTACTAATTTAAAGGGTACAACTAAATGTTTTTAGTACACTCATAGGTGTGTAGTGATATCTCACTGTGTTTTTAAAATTATTTTTTTAATTGAAGGATAATTGCTTTACAGAAATCTGTCAAACCTCAACATGAATCAGTCATAGGTATACATATATCCTTGCTCCCTTTTGAACCTCCCTCTCAACTCCCTCCCCATCTCTTGCCTCTAAGATGGATACAGAGCCCCTGTTTGCATTTCCTGAGCCAGACAGCAAATTCCCCTTGGCTATGTAAGTTTCCATGTTACTCTTTCCATACGTCTCACCTCTCCTCCCCTCTCCCCATGTCGGTAAATCTATTCTCTATGTCTGTTTCTCCATTGCTGCCCTGTAAATAAATTCTTCAGTACCATTTTTCTAGATTCCGTATATATGTGTTAAAATACGATATTTCTCTTTCTGATTTACTTCACTCTGTATAATAGGCTCTAGGTTCATCCACCTCATTAGAACTGACTCAAATGTATTCCTTTTTATGGTTGAGTAATATTCCATTGTGTATATGTACCACAACTTCTTTATCCATTCATTGTCGATGGACATCTAGGTTGCTTCCATGTTCTAGCTATTGTAAATAGTGCTGCAATGAACAATGGGATACATGTGTCTTTTTCAATTTTGGTTTCCTCAGGATATATACCTAGGAGTGGGATTGCTGGGTTATATGGTGGTTTTATCCCTAGTTTTTTAAGGAATCTCCATACCATCTTCCATAGTGGCTGTATCCATTTAAATTCCCACCAACAATGCAAGAGCGTTCCCTTTTCTCCACACCCTCTCCAGCATTTATTGTTTGTAGACTTTTCGATGATGGCAATTCTGACTGGTGTGAAGTGATATCTCATTGTAGTTTTGATGTGCATTTCTCTAATAATGTGCAATGTTGAGCATCTTTTCATGTGTTTGTTAGCCATCTGTATGTCTTCTTTGGAGAAATGTCTGTTTAGGTCTTTTCCCTACTTTTTGATTGGGTTGTTTTTCTGGTATTGAGTTGTATGAGCTGCTTGTATATTTTGGAAATTAATCCTTTGTCAGTTGTTTTATTTGCTATTATTTTCTCCCATTCTGAGGATTGTCTTTTCACCTTTCTGATAGTTTTCTTTGCTGTATAAAAGCTTTTGAGTTTAATCAGGTCTCACTTATTTGCTTTTGTTTTTATTTCCATTAATCTAGAAGGTGGGTCATGGAGGATCTTGCTTTTATTTATGTCATCAAGTGTTCTGCCTATGTTTTCCTCTAAGAGTTTTATAGTTTCTGGTCTTACATTTAAGTCTTTAATCCATTTTGAGTTTATCTTTGTGTATGGTGTTAGGAAGTGTTCTAATTTCATTCTTTTACATGGAGCTGTCCAGTTTTCCCAGCAACATTTATTGAAGAGGCTGTCTTTGCCCCATTGTATATTCTTGCCTCTTTTGTCAAAAATAAGGTACTCATAGGGGCATGGGTTTATTTCTGGGCTTTCTATCTTCTTCCATTGGTCTATGTTTCTGTTTTTGTGCCAACACTACACTGTCTTGATGACCGTAGCTTTGTAGTATAATCTGAGGTCAGGAGGGTTGATTCCTCCAGCTCCATTCTTCTTTCTCAAGACTGCTCTGGCTATTTGGGGTCTTTTGTGTTTCCATATGAATTGTGAATTTTTTTGTTCTAGATCTGTGAAAAATGCCATTGGTAATTTGATAGGGATCTCATTAAATCTGTAGATTGTGTTTGGTAGTCATTTTCACAATATTGATTCCTCCTACCCAGGAACATGGAATATCTCTCCATCTGTTTGTGTCATCTTTGATTTCTTTCATCAGTATCTTATAATTTTCTGTGTAGAGTTCTTTTATCTCCTTAGGTAAGTTTATTCCTAGATATTTTATTCTTTTCGTTGCAATGGTGAATGGGATTGATTCCTTAATTTCTTTTTCAGATTTTTCATTGTTAGTATATAGAAATGTAAGTGATTTCTGTGTATTATTTTGTATCCTGCAACTTTGCTAAATTCACTGATTTGCTCTAGTAATTTTCTGATACTATCTTTAGGGTTTTCTATGTACAGTATCATTCATCTGCAAATAGTGAGAGCTTTACTTCTTCTTTTCTGATCTGGATTCCTTTTATTTCTTTTTCTTCTCTGATTGCTGTAGCTAGGACTTCCAGAACTATGTTGAATAATAGTGGTAAAAGTGGACACCCTTGTCTTGTTCCTGATCTTAGGGGGAATGCTTTCAGTTTTTCACCATTGAGTATAATGTTTGCTGTAGGTTTATCATATATGGCCTTTACTATGTTGAGGCAGGTTCCTTCTATGCCCATTTTTTGAAGAGTTTTAATCATAAATAGGTGCTGAAATTTATCAAAGGCTTTTTCTGAATCTATTGAGATTATCATATGGTTTTTATCTTTCAATTTGTTAATATGGTGTATCACATTGATTGATTTGCATATATTGAGGAATCCTTGTATCCCTGGAATAAACCCAACTTGATCATGATGTATGAGCTTTCTGATGTGCTGCTGAATTCTTTTTGCTAAAATTTTGTTGAGGATTTTTGCATCTATGTTCATCAGTGATACTGGCCTGTAGTTTTCTTTTTTTGTGTTGTCTTTGTCTGGTTTTGGTATCAGAGTGATGGTGGCCTCATAGAATGAGTTTGGAAGTATTCCTTCCTCTGCAATTTTTTAAAAGAGTTTTAGAAGGATAGGCATTCAGTTCAGTTCACTCTCTCAGTCATGTCTGACTCTTTGCAGCCCCATGAATCGCAGCATGCCAGGCCTCCCTGTCCATTACCAACTCCTGGAGTTCACTCAAACTCATGTCCATCGAGTCGGTGATGCCATCCAGCCATCTCATTTTCTGTCGTCCCCTTCTCCTCCTGCCCCCAATCCTTCCCAGCATCAGGGTCTTCAATGAGTCAACTCTTCGCATGAGGTGGCCAAAGTATTGGAGTTTCAGCTTTGGCATCAGTCCTTCCAATGAAAAAGATAGGCATTAGCTCTTCTCTAAATGTTTGATAGCATTCTCCTGTGAAGCCATCTGGACTGGGCTTTTGTTTTTTGGGAGATTTTTGATCACAGCTTCAATTTCATTGCTTGTAATTGGGTCGTTCATAATTTCTATTTCTTCCTGGTTCAGTCTTGGAAGATTGAACTTTTCTAAGAATCCGTCCATTTCTTCCAGGTTATCCATTTTATTGCCCTATAATTGTTCATAATAGTCTCTTATAATCCTTTGTATTTCTGCATTGCCTATTGTAACCTCTCCTTTTTCATTTCTAATTCTGTTAATTTGATTCTTCTCTCTTATTTTCTTGATGGGTCTGGCCAAGGTTTGTCAATTTTGTTTATGTTCTCAAAGAACCAGCTAGCTTAATTCATCTTTACTATTGTTTCTTTCATGTCTTTCATTTATTTCTGCTCTGATCTTTATGGTTTCTTTCCTTCTAATAATTTTGGGGGTTTTTTTGTTCTTTTTCCAGTTGTTTTAGGTGTAAAGTTAGGTTGTCTATTCAATGTTTTCCTTGTTTCTTGGGGTAGGATTGTATTGCTATAAACTTACCTCTTAGAACTGCTTTTACTGCATCCCCTAGGCTTTGAGTTGTCGTATTTTCATTGTTATTTGTTTCTAGAAATTTTTTTATTTCCCTTTTGATTTCTTCAGTAACCTGTTGGTTACTTAGAAATGTATTGTTTAATCTTCATGTGCTTGTGTTTTTTACAGTATAACTCACAAGTTTTGATCTGAGTGAGCTCAAGGCTGATAGAGCCCAGAGCAAGGACAGTGTAACTGCACATTCCTGGGGTGTCAGACCTGCCAAGAGATTGCAGCCAGTTCTGGATAGAGATTTGGGAGAGAATGGACTGTCATTTGGAGGATGATGACCTGGCTAGTTAGAGAAGTGGAAATTATCATAGGAGACTATGTTGAAGAAACTAAAGAACAGGGGAAGGAAAAAAAAATAATTCTTAAATTTTAAAGAGGTGACCTATAAGTAGAGGGGATAGAAAGTTAAAACTTACAAGGAAACAGCCCTGCTTAATATAAGAAAGAGTTTTCTACTGGGAAAGTGCCAAAATAAGCTGCCAGTTGGGAAGGCAGTACATTCCCAGAGAGAAGAGGTACCAGGTAGGTGCAGGCAAGTTCCTGGTGAGCAC